TTTTAGCCGTTTCAAAAATTTCGTTTAAATTCCATTGCCATTGGGTCGCCCTCCATTGCCCACCACCCTCCGCCCCCTTCAGCAGCCCTTAAAACGTCAAAGCCAAACAATTCATAAGGGGACAAAATTAGCTAGCACAACTCGAAAATGCCCTGTAAAAAAGGAGAAGACAAGCGAGAAGTTGATGGAGAAACGAGAAGCATATAAAGGATATAAAGAAGTAAAATGAGAGGCAGGGAGAAAACAAATTGAAACGTAATGCAAAAATGTAAGTGAGTAGTAAAGCAAGAAGCAGAGCGAGAAGCGAACGTAATATTGAAAAGCAAAACTTAACATACAAGGCAGAAGGAAATAGACTAAAAGCGAGAAGCACATCGAAAATGAAAACTAGAAGCAGAGCATCAAAAAGAATGAGCAACAGATCAGAAAGCAAAGCAAGAAGGCAAGTGAATAGAAAAAGTCGAAGAGGAGCGAGAAATTAAGCGATAAGTGAGACGTAAATGAGAAGCAGAGCTAGAAAAGTAAATGAAGAATAAAAGCAAGAAGCAAAGCGAGAAGCAAAATGGCAATCAAACCCGACAATCTAATCTAAAAGCGAAACGAGAAGTTTACAAATAGGTTCAGCATATCGTGAATTAATTAAAGAAAAACAATAAGAAAGAAGCGAGAGAGACAATAGGGAAAGCAAAGTTTATGCACATAAGCAATGCACGTGCACAGCATGCCTTCTGGCATGACGTTACAGGGTATTATTTAGGCATAAAGGCTGGGAAAATATGCAGTAACCGCGAAATTGAAATTTGGCTTCGGCTGCGACGGTGGGCGGTGGGCGGCTTCTTTGCATTGTTTGCGCTGCTTCTGTGTGTTTTTTTATTTTATTTTTTTTTTTTGTCCTCTGCTTTTTTGTGTAAACGGACGGCTCACCACCTGATCCTAAGTAAATACAAGGATGCCAACAAGGCAAGCCCACGCAGTCAGGCGGCGAGTGGGTGGTGGGAGGGCGGGTGTCGGGGGTACAGACATGCATGTGAATATTTTTTATTATGCGTTGCGAGCGCGCGCTCGCGCTTTTCTTTTTAATTAAATGAAACCAGAGGAATTGACCCAAAACGCAGAATAAATAAATACTTGGCTGGCAGCAGAGGATGGGGGCGTGGCATGCATATTTCTAAGCAGCTGGCGGCTGTTGTTGTTTTGTTAATAATTATTTCACTTTTTTCACTGGGCAAGCGGGCGGGGCACGGAGGGGCAGCTGGACCTTGGTGTGCGGAGGGGGCGGGGGTGGCTCAAAGGCGTAAGAAACAAGAATTCAAAAGATGCCGCGTGGCCTTTTGTTGATTTTCCAAAAAAAAAAAAAAAAAAAAACAACACAAAAAAAAAGTCAAAACAATAAATAAAAACAAGAAAGAGAGAGAGAGAGAGAGAGAGAAAGAAGAATTTTGTGTAAAAAACAATAAATATTTCACCTTCAATAAATCATTTTCATTTTTCCATTTTCATTTGCCTAGGCATTTGCGAGGGGGGGCCAAAGGGTTTTGTCAATTGGTTGGGAGGTTTGTTTTGGGTCTGGATTTGGGTTCGGGTTTGGGTTTGGGTTCGGGCAGCATTTGTCTGAGTAGGATACCCTTATTTAAAGTGCAAATGCCTGCATAATCTGAGCAAAATTTATATGTAAATAAACAACAGCATAGCACAAATACTTAAAGGTATCATTGCACGACCTCTTCAAATTGTTGGCCAAAAAACAAAAATAGAAATAAAATAATAAAAATACATTCTCTTCAATATAAACCTGCCTTTATACAGCCTTAGCCAATGTTTTCATTTTAAATTTCCATTAAAGCTCTGTCGGGTTTTTGGCTTGAAATTGATTTTAAAGTGTGCTCCTCATAAGTCTTTAATTAAGGGAAGTACTATAATTGGTCACTCACAGTGGGTTAAGGATAACAGAAGTATATACGGTCACACTGGCAGCAGATCACAGTAGGTAAGGATAACAGCACTATATACGGTCACTCTGGCAGCAGATCACAGCAGGTTAAGGATAACAACAATATATACGGTCACTCTGGCAGCAGTTGCCATGCATGTTAACGGATATGTTAAGCATTAGTGTTAAGAAGAGCCAGTTTGTGACTAGTGTTGAACAACTAAAGAACAGTGAAACTAAAGCAGGAATAGTTACCGACATGTATACATATACTTGATTGAATAAATACATAAATTAAATAAACTTAATAATCCTCGCATAATTGGGATTCGATTATCAAAGTCTTTTAATTTTTCTACTTTTTCAATATTAATCTCTGTTATTTGTATAATTTATATTTGTTTTTTTTTTTTTTTTTGTAATTTTAAGATTGAGCAGTTTCCGTATTATTCAATTTCTCTATTAAAACTACTCTCTCGCTCTCTATCGTTTCCTTTCTCTATGCTACACATGTGAATTTTAGTTGCTAAAATTGCGCGTCATTCCCCGGCCCAATTCCTTCTTTGTTCTTCTTCTTGTTTTTTTTGACAAATGGCCACTCAAGTGGATTAAAAATGGTTGTAACTAAATAACTAAATAAATCTGCGGCCTGGACATGCACATTTGTCAAAAGTCGTCGCCCCCTCAAAAACTGGCTGACAAAGTGGGCGGTGGGTGGTGGGTGGTGGTTAGTGGGCGTTGCTGGCATGTCGAAGTATTTGTCGCATATTAGTTAAACCTGCACAAAAAAAAGGTCAATTTTTCGGTGTAGTTAAGTTTTGACAGGAAAAAAAGCCAAAAGCAAAGCTTAAATGCCTCTTTGTCTCTCCTCTCCCCCCCCCCCCCCTTTCACTCGCTCTCTCATTATCTCTCTCTATCTGTCTCTCTCTCGCTCTATCTACCTTACACTCAGCCAAGTCAACATCAAAGGCCGCGGACGCTGCGCTTATTAGCTCGACGGCATTTTTCGGCATGCAAAGGAATTTTTTAAGTGTGCTTCAATATGAGATACCCTGTACTTTTCATGCTAATGAGGTAGTTTTGTGTGATTGTTATGTTGCAGTCATGTTCAAGCTTCATTATTATTAACCAAAACTAACTAAACTAAACTCAGCTGAATATTTCTTAAAATATATCTTCTAGAGCTGTAAAAGATATTTAGATATTATATCCTATAGATATAATATATGTATATATTATATAACTACGAAAACTCGGTCCATGTTTTAAAGGAATGGAGCTGAATTTCTGCGATTTGACAAAGTAAAAGTTAACTAAACATAGATCAATGTAAATTTTAGATATATATAAGAAATTCTCAGACATATTCAATTTGAATAAATATATACTTTTAGCCAAAGTCAATACGAGGCGCTGATCTAATCAAATTTATAATTTATAAAGAAGCGAAACGATTTTATTATCATTTTATTCGACGCACTGATTAAAGAAATTTGTTGAAATTTGTTGTTGAGGTTTTTCATCAAGAATCAATTTTGTATTTTATTATTTGATAGAAATATGAGAATTAGTGTGTTCCATAAACGTGTCTTTAAACTACCCAAAACAGGGTATACGCTCGTCGGGCAAACGCGGTGACAACGTCTTACTTAATGCTCTTATATACGTATATTTTTTTTAAACTTCTTTTTACTTAGTCCACAGTCTCTTTTTACATATATTTCCATTGCTCAACCTGCTTTTTTTTTTCTATTTTTGGGCCTTACCGAAGCATTTGGTGCATGCAACATTTGATGTGGACACATTTTTGGCATTAATGAATAAAATTCATGAAAAACATATCAATTGGCGTCTTAGCACTTGAAGCGTTGACAGCACTGCCAAATCCCCGTAAGGCGCCAAGGCCGTGCCGGGGCCGATCAGGTCTTAAGTTTTCAGCTCGATTAGTGAACAGCATTGGAAACAGCATCTGAAGTATCTCGTGGCTCAGGTGGTGCCAATTAATGAGTATGGAAAGGAGAACACGGCGAGCAAATGTCCAACATCATTTAGTTTCAGCTTATTTCTGTTATTTTATTTTGGTTGTTTTTGCCAGTCATGCGGCACACTTTTAGAACCATTCAGTGCCATCGCACAGTGGAGCCAGGCAGCCAACGACAGCAGCAATGCCAAAGAAATTGAACACAAAACAAATCATAAGCTTTAATTGCGGTTTTTATAAGCTATAAAGAACAAAAACAAGCTGGCGACTTTCCCGACAAGCCCAATTAAATGGTATTTGGCCCACTGTGCGCCGCGCCAAGCCTCAGCTTGGCTAAAAAGAAATCCATATGGTAATCTGGTGTCTGAGTAGCAAACAACAACAACAAGCACAGCAAATTTTAAGAAAACAGATACGAATTTTAAATTAATGAACAGCGTTTTTTTTTAACGCATGTATGTTTTAACGCATGTATGTAAACGAGTTTAATGCAGCGCACAGTGGTGCGAGGTGTGCAGAAGAGTCGTTCGTTACGAGAAAATAATTGTTAGTTAAATGAAACTCAAACCGAAAAATATAACAAAACAATGCTAAAGTCAACATAAATCAAACATTGCAAAATATATTGAATAGATTTTTGCGAAATTGTAGAAAATATTTAAACAAACATTTAGTTGCATTAAGTGGGAAAATTTTCAGCTAAAAGCTGAGTTGCATAGAGCTTTACAAAAGAAAGCTTGCTTCGCACGCGCTTTGCAAGCACGTTAAAACTTGCAGCAGGATTAAATATATAAATGTTCTTCCAAATAAATTGAATAAGAGAAAACAGCAAAATCAAATCAACATGTAAAATTCCCGACTTAAAGCGCATTCAAAAAAGCATTTGGCAACTGAAATCGCTTGCTCTACCAATTAGTTCCTTTTCTCTTTCACACACACCCTCTCCATTACTCTCTCTCTCTCTCTCTCTCGCTGTCTTGTTCAATCTTATGCTAACCTGTTTAGTTAACTAAAACTTAAAGTACTTTTGTAGAATAGTCATTTAATTAGTCAACTGTCAATAATTCATGTTTTGCTTTCGGGACTTTTTGTTGTTTTGTACGCCTGCAAATTATTCAAATTAATTGGATTTGAATAATGGTGGGTCAGTTTTGAATTTTTGTTTTTTTTTTCATATTTTTGGCAGCCGGAACCAGTGTGCTGTGTTGGATCGCAAATGGCGACGCATGTTTATGGTTGGGCTGATGATGTTGTAATCTTAAAACCGGCAGCGCAGCACGTTGGCCAAATCAGTTTGACTTCGAGAACGGACTAAATGGCAATCAATTGGCTTTTGCTGGTGCTGATGCCGCTGCTGCTGGTCGGTGCGGAGGCGCGTGCATCGCAGGGCATGCATGTGCAGCTGCCGCATGGCGGCTGGCTGGTTGGACGCCATAGGACCACGCACAGTGGTCGACATATGCGTGCGTTTATGGGCATACCGTATGCACTGCCGCCGCTGGGCGATCTGCGCTTTCGTCCGCCTGTGGAGCAGCCGGCATGGCAGGGCGAGCGATTGGCTGTAAAGGATGCGCCCGTGTGCATGCAGCGTGATCCGTTTCGGCGTGACATGACAATCGAGGGCTCCGAGGATTGCCTGTATCTGAATGTCTATACACCGGATCCGGTAGCAGTTGAACCGTTGCCCGTGATGGTCTGGTTCCATGGTGGTGGCTGGCAATGCGGCTCGGGCATCAGCAGCTTCTATGGTCCCGACTTTCTGCTCGAGCATGACATTGTGCTGGTCTCCGCCAATTTCCGGCTTGGTGCACTCGGCTTTCTTAGCACCGAAACGCTCGATTGTCCCGGCAACAATGGGCTCAAGGATCAGCTACAGGTGCTACGCTGGGTGCACGCCAATATAGCCGCCTTTGGCGGTGATCCGCACAGCGTAACGGTGTTTGGTGAGAGCGCCGGCGGCGCTAGTGTCACCTATCATATGCTTGCCGAAAAATCACGCGGTCTGCTGCATCGCGCCATTGCACAGTCGGGCACCTATTTTAATCCCTGGGCGCAGCCGGCACACGACGGCGTGGCCGCACAGCGTGCGCTCAAGCTGAGCGAGCTGCTAAACTGCAGCGATGCGAGCAGCGATTGGTCGGCCAAGTTGAAGTGTTTGCGCGACAAGCCAGCTGAGGACATTGTGGCCAAGCTATACGATATGTTTGTAAGTGCGTGCGTGTGTGTGTGGTTGTGTGTGTACGATTGTGTGTGCAACTCGGCGAATAAAACAATTCTTTCATGCTCTTTGCAGGTATGGGATTTCGATCCCATGATACCCTTTCCGCCCGTCATTGAACCGGAGCATGAAGGCGCTTTTCTAACGCTGCGACCGCGTGAGGCGCAGGCCCCACACGGCCAGACGCTGCCTCTAATGATAGGTGTGACAGCTGAGGAGGGGCTGCTGAAGACGGCGGCGCTGCTGAATTTGCCACATCTGATGGACGAATTCAAATCGTACTTTGAGCAACTGCTGCCCATTGTGCTCAATTATGATCATCATGACGCGGAGACACAGCAGCAGATAACTCGGCACATCGAGAGCTTCTACTTTAAGTCGGGTCACAACTACAACAAGTCCAATCATCAGAATCTGACCGATGTATGCGAATCCTGCAAATGACTTGTATGAGTAAATGATCTATGTTTATGTGTACATTATGCTTGCAGCTAATCTCCGATGGCTGGTTTGTGGCTGGCGTCGATGAGTATCTACAGCTGCGCCTGGACGAGCAGCAGCAGGCGTTGGCGCCCACCTATGTCTATCTATTTGATCATAAGGGCGCCGCCAGTTTCTCAGAGATATTCAAGGGTGCGCACAATGAGTTCTATGGCGCTTGCCATGCGGAGGAGCTGCAATATCTGTTTCCCATTGGCGAGCAACTGTTCGTTAGCGCCGTGCCAACGCGCCAGGATCTGGAGCTACGCGATCTAATGCTGCGGCTTTGGGTTAACTTTGCGCGTACCGGGTAAGAATTGCTGTTGAAATTTGCTTCCGACTTCAAATAACATGTACATATGTATATTCCTGTTAGTGATCCGAATCCTGTCATTGGCACAAGCAACTTACCCACTTGGCGGCCCACATCCAAATATCCGGTGGAGTACGCACGCCTTGGCTCCAAGCTGGATGCAATGGATGATGGGACGCTGCCGCCGCTGCTGCGCATGGAGAAAGCGCTGTTGCAGCATCGCGTTGACTTCTGGCGCGAGCTTAAAGCACATTTGCCGGTCAGTCGGCGTCCACAACAGCACAATGAGCTTTAATTGTTGTTGTTGTTCCATGTTTTCTTAATTTTTTTAGTTTTGCAATGTATTTACATAACTTTTATTTTGTTAACAAACAAAAAAAGAATGAAAAAAAAAACAAAAATAAACATAGCAAGTTGCCAGATCTCGCGAATTATTAAAAACAGCAGCGTTGCCACCTGAACACATACACAACATACTTAGAGAAAAGTAAGAAAGCAGAAAAACAAAAAAAAAAACACTCAGCTGTTTACGAAGTATGACATTTGTCAAATCACTGGAAACAAAAGGACAAATAAATAAAGCGCACAAGATGCTTGAACAATGCACATTTTAATGAATCTGCGCGTCGCATTGTCCGCACTGCAAATTACATATGTTTTGTGTGTGCGCTAAATGATTTGCAGGTGAAACCATCTGGCAACGCCCAACGAAAAACGTAGTTTCATTTTTTTTTGTCAAGCTGGCCGACATTGACATACGCATACGGACAAAATAAATACACATATACACGCAGTTCGACAGTTTTGTTTTATTTTTTATATACATATATATATTTATATATATATATATATATATATGTATGTATATATATATACATATATATATATATATACACATATACACACTTTATATACATATATATATAAATAAACACTTTGCAACTTTATGCCACACGCTCGCAAATACCAACGTGGTGTTTTCGCTTAACTTGACCTCGAGCTGCAATTGTTCGCGTCGCAACAAAAGTGGACGACAAATGGCTGGCTCGGCGCTGCGTCGCCTGATGGCGGAGTACAAACGTAAGTGCGCTGTTGGCTGCAAAGATGATGCAAAGTGCTCCGTTTGCTGGTGGAAGGGAGGGGCTGTTGATTCAAAGTGTGGGCGGGGATGTGCTTATGCCGAATGATCACCGTTATTAATTGGGTTTTCTGTTCAAATTCCAGAGTTAACAATGGATCCGCCAGAGGGCATTGCCGCTGGACCCATCAGTGAGGACAATTTCTTTGAATGGGAGGCGCTGATTGCGTGAGTTATTGCCATAACAATTCAATTATATATGTTATTAATATATGCATATGTGTGTGTGTGTGTGCATGTTATCTACGTTGCAGCGGACCCGAGGGCACCTGCTTTGAGGGCGGCGTTTTTCCAGCCCGTCTAGTTTTTCCACCCGACTACCCATTAAGTCCACCAAAAATGAAATTCACTTGTGATATGTTTCATCCAAACATTTTTGCCGATGGCCGCGTTTGCATATCAATACTACACGCCCCCGGCGACGATCCCATGGGCTATGAACTGTCGGCCGAACGTTGGAGTCCAGTGCAGAGTGTCGAAAAGATTCTATTGAGTGTGGTTAGCATGTTGGCGGGTAAATGTGGCTAAATAACAGCCTAATCCAATCATCTGCGACAAACTCGCTGAATCTAATGCGTTCGCTACATATTTTTTGCAGAGCCCAATGATGAGAGCGGCGCCAATGTGGATGCAGCGATTATGTGGCGGGAGAGGAGGGACGAATTCAATCGCATCGCACAGCGATTGGTGCGCAAAACACTCGGCTTGTCAGCCTAAAACCTCGACTGAAGCGACTGGACAGAACCCGGAATCACATTAGCAGAGCCGTCACTCGTGTAAGAGCAGCCCACAACCACGAGCCCCACAAATCCTACTATACTTTAACACAATCTTGAAAGGAATCGAAACAAAAAACTGATTGCAAATCCACAATTCCTCCCATGAGTATGTGTATGTCTATGTGTGTGCGTGCGTGCGTGTGTGCGTGCGTGCGTGCATGCGTGTGTTTGTGTGTGTGTGTGTATGTGCGTTAGTGCTCTTGTATGTATGTACATTTTCAAAATTTAGGAGATCAACATAAAAGGAAAACAACTAAAACGAAGCGAAAAGAGAAAAATACGAAAAAAATTCGATGCTATCAAAAAAGAAAACACAAAAAAATACCGAAACCTTGTCCAATTGATATTTGAAAACCTGAAATCTTTAATTTGTAGTCGAAAACAATGCGATCGCAATTAATACCTATGTCATTTAATTTCAATTTACCGTTTATTATCATTTTGAGCTTCAGAAAAGCAGTTAGTTTCCAATATGATTTAAGTTTAAGAATACCAATAACTGAAGAGAAAAAAAAACACCTTTTTTTTTTAAGCATAAAACAATAAAATAAACTTTAAGTTGAACAGCTGCGTGAGCCATCAGTGCAATACTCAACAGAAGGACTTTTTGGTCACGGCCCGAGCGATATGATTCGCTGATGTCCTAATGCACAATTGTGAACAGTATAGACTAAGCAATGCATGTATGATACATATGTTAATTGATTTTAAAAGTCCTATATTTCATTTGGAGTGACCAATTAAAAATTGTTTGGTGGATGACAGTATTTATTGTAGTCAGTCACTTCTTCTATGAGCTCCCAAAGACCTATGCTTTGGCTGTCTTCAAGAAAAAAAAAAAGAAATTACCTCGAGCTAACAATTATCTATCTTACTTTATAAGGTCTATAAACTCAGAATATGGACGCATGTAAATGCTGTCCGAATTTAAGCATTAGCGCGTCTGGCAGTGTTGCCAGATGGCTGTGACTGCAACAGCTGCGTTGCTGTAATCATTTAGTGTAGCCATCTAGAATTATGCGCTTGCATAAACTGGTCACACTGTTAGACGTATTTTCAGATATTGTTTTTGCTTTTGGGTTGAAACACGCAGCGTGCTGCGTACGTGCGTAACGTTCAAAGCGGCTTGTTTTCTTTTTTTTTTGATGCTGTTGTTGTAACATAGCACGCCGAAAAAGAAAAAAAAAATAACAAATACTTAAAGGTATGTTAATGAAAAGCGGACCACTTACAGAACCCAAGTACCAAAGTGCTAATATGAAATATATATAACATTAACGGAGCTGTCTCTGCAAACGGTGTGTTAAGCGACGACATTGACCCAAACAAGCATTTAATCAAAAAAAAAAATTAAACTGTGTGTGCGCGCACGGACTGATAAAAATAAGCGCAAAGTGAAAATGGTACTAAATAAATAGCATACCGCATTAAGTGGGGAAACATGACGCATGTTGCTGCCGCATTGACACACGCCAGGTGTGTGTGTGTGTGTGTGTTTTTCTGGTGCGGGGGCAACTTTAAGTGAACGAGTGCCGTACAATATGTTGTTTTTATTTTGTATGCCCGCAGCAGCAGCATTACATGAATTTTCCGCAGGAGAATTAGTTGTGCGACTTTTTTCATTATTATTCTTTTTTTTTTTTTTTTTTTTAAATAACACCTTATTTCATCAGTTTTAAACAACACACAGACGCAAACACACACATAGAGGAAGCGAGAGAGACGTGAGATAAAGTGGGCATGCCAACGCAGCTCAATGTCCAATCAGAGTCGTTGCAGAGTTGCCAGGCCGCAAATGCATTTTCGTCTAAGCACTCCCCGTTAAACATTGTGTAATGTTTGCTCTGTTCCCTCAACCGACAATTAGTGCAAGATTTATCATTGTTACTAACTGTACAAGTCGCATGGCTTAACCAGCTGACCATACGGCACACGCACACACAAACACTCACACACACACACACAGGTAAACGAACGGCAGCCACAGCAGCCTCGTCTGGCTGCATAAAATTTCATAAACAAAACGGAAAGCGCTGTAAGCCAATTAACATATTCAAAGAAATTCAAAATTCAGGCCAGTTGATGGCTTATTTATATGCCATTGTAAAAAGCACTCGATATGCAAAATATATTCAATTATTTGAAGTTCGGTTACGCCGTGTGTTGCAACTTCCCCTCCCCGTTTCAAGCAAGATGATCGCGTTGAGAATTTTTTTTATTTATTATTTTTTTCTTGTCGGTTTTGTTAACAAGTTGTTGCGCCCACATAAAGCGTAGCAGCAAATTGCTTATTGTAAATAATACCACAATTAAGTGTATGTGTGTGTGTGTGTGTGTGTGCATGTTATATATAAGTTATTGAACATAGCGCGCGTGACGTCATTGCTCAAATAAAAATTAGCTTGAATTTGGCTATGTAAATGTTTGAAAAACAATTATATATGCGATACGGCAACACTGGCTGACAGTTCGCAGCGGGTTACCAAAACCAAATATTTGCAATGTTTAATTATGCTACGATGACATTGTAAATTCTTTTTGCGATATATGGCAGCACTACTCGCTTACAGTTAAATACCCAATAGAAATTTGCCCCCGAGCAAATGGCAAATGGCAAATGTCATACCCGCATAAACATAACATTACTTACCAGCTCTAACCAGAATTTGTTCTTCCTTCTCATTCCCGCTACAGATTTGGCAAGGTAAAAAAAAAACAAAATGCTTTCGCTGCAGAATCAACGTCAACCAAAGACAACACCTTTGGTGGACGACTATGAGATATCGGATACGGTCCTGGGCCTGGGCATTAACGGCAAAGTGGTGCAGTGCACCAATCGGCGCACCAAACAGAACTATGCATTGAAAGTGCTACTGGACAATGAGAAGGCGCGACGAGAGGTCGATCTGCACTGGCGGGCCAGCGGCTGCAAGCACATTGTCAACATCATCGATGTCTACGAGAACACCTACAGCGGTCGCAAATGCCTGCTGGTGGTAATGGAATGGTGCGTCTTAACACAAACTGCTTTCCAATTGTTGGGCTATCTACTTATCATCAATTGGCGTCCAATTGGAATCACATTAATTCATTTCAAAATGGCGAACCCGAACACTTATTCATTAACGCGACTTTCACACGCAAATCAATTGTGATTTGTGGGTTGCCACCCTGTTTTTAGCTCTGTGCTGTTAATCTTCATTTTATAGTCAATGATTTCATTAAGTGACGCCCATTAAGCTATTCCATATTACCCGGCTTAGCTCGAGCCAGGTTTTTTTTTTTTTTTTTTTTGAACCTAAGAAAATTGCAGTTTCACACAAGTCATTAACTGTTCTATGTCACAACATCTCTATGAGACATTTAACAGAAAATGTAACTACCGCAAATGGAATGCAGCTTCCTAACTATTCGGCTTGCACATGTCAGTCTCAGCTCAACTTTTGCTGCACCAACAGCTAGTCCCAATTAGATTCCAATTAGCGCCCGCTAAAAAAGTCTTTAAAGGGTCCATAAAAAATGTTACACTCATTCTATTATTCACCTGCTGCTTTGTGCAGCATTTGTAGACTATTTACAGGCAGTGCAGCTGATTAATAAGATTTTCTATTAAATGCAAGCCATGACTAGGCTTGCCTGAGATTGCATTCAGTCGTAATTCACGCAATTCCTTTTCCAATTTGCAGCATGGAGGGGGGTGAGCTGTTCCAGCGCATACAGGACAAAGCGGACAGCTCGTTTACGGAACGCGAGGCGGCGCATATAATGCGCGAGATATGCGAGGCCGTTTACTATCTGCATAGTCGGGATATTGCCCATCGGGATCTCAAGCCGGAGAACTTGCTCTATACGACAAAGCAACCAAATGCTATACTAAAGCTCACCGATTTCGGTTTCGCCAAGGAGACCTTCACCAATGACACTCTACAGACGCCCTGCTATACGCCGTACTATGTCGGTCAGTTGCCTCGCAGCTAAAAATAGCTAACGAATTGCATATTGATTGATTGATTATTATTGCATTTCAGCGCCAGAGGTGCTTGGCCCCCTAAAGTATGACAAGAGCTGTGACATCTGGTCGCTGGGCGTGGTCATGTATGTTATAATGTGCGGCTTTCCGCCGTTCTATAGCATCAATGGCCTATCCATATCGCCGGGCATGAAGAAGCGCATACGCAACGGTCAATATGATTTTCCCGATCCGGAATGGACGCACGTCAGTCAGGCGGCCAAGGATTTAATCAAGGGCATGCTCAATGTGGATCCCAGCAAGCGTTTGCGCATCGAGGATGTGTTGCGCAACAAATGGATAGCACAATATGATGCCGTGCCCCAAACGCCCCTCTGCACCGGCCGCATACTAAAAGAGGGCGAAGAGACTTGGCCGGAGGTGCAGGAGGAAATGACACGCTCGCTGGCCACCATGCGTGTCGATTACGATCAAGTAAATTGATATACATAGCACTCACTAAATTCTTGCATACAATTTATAATCGCCTATCCAATCTGTTGCAGATGCAAATTAAAGCACTGGACAAGTCCAACAATCCGCTGCTGACGAAGCGCAGGAAAAAGATTGAGGAGATTTATGCGGTTCACAGCAAGTAAATTGCGGCCGCTAGCGAAGCCACAAAAACAACAACCAAGGATTAAAGGACAAACGCCAAACCTTCCTCCCTCTATAAAAGATAAAATATAATATAATAAGATGTGCCCCAATATCGGGCTGTTCTTATTATATTACGCTTTATCGCCTAATACTTAAGAGTTGTACAATGCTATAGAACACGACAAAAGTTTTACAACTTCTATATCTGCATACAACAGGGATGGTAGCCCACTCCCCCACCCCCACCCCCCGCCTCTTTCCCATTATCCGCGCACTTCTTGACTATGTTACATTAATTTTTGTTTGTCTTTATGTGCATTATTCATATCCTGTATATGTATGTATTGTATATCCATTTCCAGTAAAGGTTTTAAGGGTATTCTTAGTGTGAGAAAAGTGCTCTTTCAAATTGAAATATAACTTATATAGAAGCGACATAACAGAAAACCTACGCATATACCTACTATACTTAATATATATATATAAACATATATTATATATATATATATGCTTATAGTATGTCGCTAGCTACAGCCCCGACTTATAACAACCTGAATTTTATTGAGTTAATATTTGTTTTATCATTTAATTATTTTTGTGACTTGTGTACTTGTGAATTTTTGTTTTGCATGCGAAATGAATGACAAAAATCATGTTTATAATTTAATTTTTAATTAAAAACAAAAGTGCATGTATGTCCCAAACAGCTGTCGATTAACTTAAGCATTAGCCCTGCTCCAGTTGACATGTCGAACACGTCTACGTTTATCATCTTGTGCTGATCACAGCTCTATGCAAGCTATACAATTTATCATATAAATAAAGTATTTGTAGTTTATAAAATCGAGACAAAACCCGTGTTTTTATTTAACAATGGCTAGGCAAATCTGAAAAAAAGTGTATTGCAACAGAGTCGCCTCCGATCCCCTGCTCAGCGTCTCTTCCATATATAAAACATTGCTGGAAATACCACTTTTTTTTTTTGAGCCGGAAATGATTGATTACTCGACTGGAATTTCCCTTAACATCACGTGCTACACGAATGAAATGGCACATTTGTGTAGGGGAAATCACATTTTGTACACGACATACATATATATAGAATCGCATGGAAAAGGCAAAAAGTCCCATAATGTAATTTTCGATCTATCCAAGCCAATAATACCTATGGAAGTTATATAATAGATTATTTACTCTGCGGGAATTGGTCTATGTTGGATAATCGATTTACATATTTTGCCTTCTGCGTGGTTACTTTTAAATATTTTGAAAAACTTCTCTCTTCACAAGCAAAATCTGACTACTATATAATATAGCTAAATCGTATATCAAAATTTCAGTCAATTATATTTTTCTATTCTATTCAATCTTTGATACAACTTAAAGAACCGTTTTGCAGAATAGTCATAATATGGTTAATTGAAGCTCTTGCTTTTAGAAAGTATATCTTGTTATGTTTTCTAAAATCATATATTTTGATTGTCTAGATAAAACTTCATAGAGACTATATTCACTTGTTCTTATAATATGGGTGTAAGCTTAAAAGATCCTAAGGATTTGCCCAGACATTATAGTAGCCGTCTAACTCCAGAGCTAAGTTCTTGAGGCAAACATAAATGCCATATCATGAACATGCTAGAAAGAGATGGCCGTACACGTACGCGCTCTTTCTAGCTAGTGCATGTTCGTGGGTCGAGCCCCCAATTTCTGGCAACCCATTATAGTAAACATTATGTGGACTTTATCATTTATTGACGTATGTATATAATATATAACAGTGCAGTTCGACACACACACGCACGCACACACACACACACACACACACACACACACACGTGCACAAGGATGATGTCCCTGGGATTGCAGGAGCAGGAGTCGTTTGGAGGGGCGTCGGCATGGAAGTAGGCATTGCTAGCTAATTTATAGCTCAGTTCTTCCAAGCACCCTAATACACACACACACACACACACGCTCGCAGGCACACACACACATATATTTAAGGAAAATTAAACAAAAAAAAAATATGATTTCATAAAACTATAAAAATTATAAACAAAAACATGAGCAATAACAACATATTATGCATGCAAAATGCACACATAATATAGTTATATACAGCTATATATATTCATATACATATTTGTACAGCGTGCATATGTATATATACATATATAATCATATACAATAATCGGGTATATTTTCTAAATTCCTACAACAATAGTTAACAATTTTTGTTTCCTCACATGAAGTTGTTGTTGTTGAGTTTTAGCTGCATTTAAATTTGCATTGTCGTTGATGTTTGTTGATGCTATTCTCTAATCGGGCTACAAATTGTGCAGCATATATCTATACGTACATGTATATATATATACACCCTATTAATAGCATAGCCTAGGCTTATACATATGTATATGCTCATATATAATAGTATTTGCATAACTTTTGTTTGTTTTTCTTGGTTTGGTTTTTCATTTAGAAAAATACACGAGCTATATACATACACACATATATATATATATAATACATTATTATAAATATATATCTATATATATATATAGCTATGTGGGCGTGTTTGCTGTATTTGTGCTTAAAAATATACTATATTATATATATATATATTTTTATGGCAGATTTGCGAGATTCAGCCAGGCTTTAAATATTACTGCTGCTTCAATTCCAATTTGTTTTTTTGAACTTTAGATTCCTGCGTATGTTAAGCTTAGTGGTATGTGTGTGTGAGTGTATGGGTGTGTGTGTGTGTGTGGGTGTGTGTGTGTCTGTGGGTGGGTGATTCCTTCCAGGGTGCGTTTGTTTGTTTGTTTGTTTGTGTGTGCGTGTGTTTGGGTTTTGTAAACTGAAGGTACATCATTATTTCGTTTGCTTTTCTTGCACATTCCATTCGCTTGCTACTCCTCATCTTTCGCTTCCATCTTGTTTAACAAATGGCACACGTCTTGCTGGGCGTGGCCCCTTTGGAGTCGATTCTGAACAAATCCAAAAGTGGTCAGCTGGATTGCCTAAATAAAACTATCGCAGCTGTTCTCCGTCTCGCTATTGGAGCAATCCATGGCCGGCAGTGAGCCGCCACGCCTATACGCCCACTGGCGCTGATAGGCATCCTCCGCATAGTTCTGCTGCTGACGCACTGCAGCCGCTCGCTCAGTCTCAGTGCTGCTGACGCTGGTGCCGCTGCCGCTGCTGCTGACGTTGCCGCCGCCGCTTAAGGTGATGGGCATATGGCTGCTCCGGCGATTCGTTGTGCTGGGCGGAGCCGGCGCAGTGACATTCAGGCGCGGAAAATATTTGTATAGCTCGAGCAGATTGTTGAGCTTTATATGCGGCTTGTATTCGACATCGTCCAGGCACTGTGAGGCGCTGCTGCTGCTGTTCAGCGGCATCCAGAACGTCAGACCCAGCTGGGCGAGGTGTCCGCCCTGTAAGCAAAGCAAGCCCAATCAGTGAACGACTCAAACAAAATCTGATTCAAGTAATAGCAAATCCTTTAATTTGATCACGAACTTTTCAAGCATATATGCTAGATCGAGTTTCCTTTAATGAATCGATAAATATCCATGAAATCGATAAATGTCGATATCGAAATAATAATTTTGTTTTGGGCTCACAATTTGGATGTCAAATGCCCTGATATATTTTATGAAGATCGGACTACAAGCACCGAAGTTATTCAGAAACGCGTCTCTCAAAGGAATGTGTGTGTGTGAAGCCAGAATGTGGGTCCGTGTGTGATTTATTATCTTATCGGCACACTCACCTTGATATCCGTCTCGAGTTTATCGCCAATCATGGCGCACTCGTGCGGTTTGACGCGTAGAAAATTGCACGCCGCATAGAATATCTCCCGATGCGGCTTCTCCCAGGGCAGATCCGAGGAGACGAGCACACAATCAAAATAGCCGCGCACATGCAATTTGGCGACCTTCTCCCACTGTGCGTTCGACGGGCCGTTTGTGATGAGCGCCAAAGCATAGCCGGCGCGTCGCATACGCTGCAATAGCTGCACATAGTCCGGCGGCACGGCCAAATAACGGTAGCGCAGCTTTAGCCACTGCGGATAGATCTGCTCGGCAAGATGCTTGTGCTTCTGCTGCAGTGACTCGCGCCACAGATGCGTCCGCCACGAGTCCAGCGATGTCTGCGAGTTGTCCGGACAGCGACGAAACGACTTTAAAAAGTTCTGTGTGGCCAGGTTGGCATCGTCTTTGGTAAAGCTATACTGCGTTTCCAGCACGTCGGCAAGCTGTCACAGGCAGAAATTTTCAATCAAAATCAAATGAGAGTTGCACAATGTTCTTAATATAAACACGTCGTCGGCAGTGCCCGACTGGCAGTTACCCTAAGCCTGTCGCGTGTCCATACATCTCTTAAACCATATTGCATCGGTGTTTATTGTCCGATCCTTATTCAATTTTCAGCGCAATTATATAAAAACAAATAAAAAAAAAGGTTCTATACACCGAATCGCCAGGTTTTCTTTTTGAAAATGAGTTTTCCCCCAGGTTTTGATCTGTTTATACACTCTGTATGATGTAAAAATCGTGTCTCAAAATCGATATTGAGAAAATTGAAGAATATAACGGCAACACAATAGTCTTGTTCTGTGTGGGGCTTACAAGGAAATATATTTCAAATATGCAAGAAGCGGCATTCATATAGAAGGGCAAACTGATAGACCCTGCTCGTTGATTTAATCACGAATATTTATTTATACATACTACATATGTATGTATATTTAGAGGGGGTCGGAAAAGGTTTCCTTCTGCCTGTCACAGACAATTGCGCAAGTGCATAATTCAATTGCGAAATAAGCCACATACATACATATGTATGTATGTATGCACATACATATAACGGTTATTAGTCATAAACGGGACTTGCGAAAGTGACGATACAGTCATGCGCTTATGACACCTGTTAGCTGCGTATCTAACTAATATTTTGCCCGCGTTGCGCTCACATAGGGCAATTGCATAAGCTAGAACGAGACGGCCATAGTGTAAGGGCTGCCAGGATTACGTGTGATGCTTTAATGCGACTTATTAATCTAAATCAAGATTCAACATATCAATAAATCATTGCAATTTGCAAAGAAGTTGCTTTTGATCAGCGTCACGTATGAGACTTGAAATAATGATTATTGTAGGAAACTACTTGAACTCAGATAAATAATAAAATTATAATCATCCAAGGCATTTGAATTTAGATAATTTCTTCCTTTAACGTGTCGCTAGACATATGTATGTATTTAGAGGAGCATATGTATGTATGTATGTAAGTCCCGTTATCAATTGGTATTGCCAATATGTATGTAAACAATTTTCCAGACTTGTTTAAAGCGAAAATTTCGCAGACAACAACTGATGATAAAGAAATAAATTATTCATCGAATACAATTTATGCACATAGAACACATTTGTTTGTTTAAAACGCAAATAAGGCGCGTCCAGCCATTAATCATTTATGTATGTATTAATACAGCTGCTTCCTGCATGACGAAACGGGCTTAAATATTTATAACTCCTTAGCTGAAGCTTCCGCTCAAAAGCCAAGCATCTTTAAATAAAAGTAAACTGCGCACCAAAAAAATAAATAAAAAAAAAACAAGCAAATTGAATTTTCCAATTTGCAGGCAATTTCACTGATCTTCGTTTAACGGTAAATGTCAAACAAACAAGTGTCATTCGAGCATCATAGATGTGCAGGCATTTATTTTTGGTCTCTTATGACTTTGACCTCTAGTCAGAGAAAGACGACATGCATTGATCAAACGTGCATGCACACGCACGCACACACAAACATATACATATATCTATATACACACACACACAGTAAGAAACGCGCGCGTGCTATTTGCCTACGCGCTCACTAACACATGCACACAACACAAATGTACGTAACGAGCGGCTGCAGTGGAAAATTTTTGTAAATACTATGTGTGTGTGTGTGTGTGTATTTTTGGAGTGTTTGTATGACAGGCACAGACACACAGACCGCGCGAACTTTCACCCGCGAAATTAACTTACCTTGCGTATGGCTTTGGAGTCACCGGCCCGCGTTGGGATAAGCGTGTTATCTAAGTCAAAATAGAACGCTGAGATTTTCGCACAAATGCCATCGAATGGTGTTGTGTGCTTGAGGCTCGTTGTTAACGTTGCTGTTGAAAGTTTGCTAGCGGCCATGAGTTATTGCCACGCACTGTTGTTGGAGCACTCGATGCTTATGGGGGGATTCTATGGGACCAGGGGGTGGCAGCACATATATCATAAGAGCGTTATTCAAAAATATTGCATATATTTATTAATTCTAATTAAAATTTTGGCGCCACTTATAGTAAATAGAAATTGTCTTTGCGAGGTAGTTGCACACGTTTCGTTAGTTTAACAGCAACTAAATTGAAAACAAACGTTGTACTAAAGTTAAATAAGGGAACAGGTAAATGTAACCAAAGTAAGAGCGAAGCAATGACTGAAAGAAAGTGCACGCACGCACGATTCCATAGTCAGGCGCGTAAGTAAACGGACAGCAATTTAGGTTTAAGCCGCAACAGCTGGTTTTATAATTTATTATACCAAACGTTTTGAGTGCGTAGCTGGTTTTTTTTTTTTATTTATTTATTATCTCGGACTTTTGCTGTTAATATTGCTTTTTATAAATTTATATTAAGAATTTGTTAGAGTTACACAGCTTTTACACAGGCACTGTAAGTTGAGTAGCGAGAGAGGTCAGGTCGCGCGCCAATGGGCCAGAGCGAGCACGCGATACTCGCGGAGAAGAGCACATGTACATATAGTATATGTATAACTACAATAAAGCAAAGGATCATTGGCTAGATAATATTTATAGCAAAAACTTCGAAGCTTTAGCTGCAAAACAATGTTTTGAGTAAATAAAATTTATTATTAATTTTTATAATTTCATTTTGCAGCACTGCAGCTAACAACTGTGCGCAGTAATGTGTTTTTTTCGTTATCGATATATCGCAATAGAGCAGATATAATTTTTTATGTAAAAGTGGCAACGCTAGCATGTTATTGTCGACTAATTTTGTTTACCAATTTGTGCAATTGATTGTAAGAAATATTTGAAAATACTGACAGACAATTTTAGTAATGAGTAAATTGGAAACCGATATCGAAATGTTATCGTCAGGTGGGCTATATAACTCAGTTATTTTAAAGACTGCTGATTTATGTAATATATTAAAGCTGAAATCACCCCGAAGAAGAGCGGCGACGCCAAAGAAAGCGCCAAAGTGGAAGATTTAATTTCGCTCGAAACATTGCGTGAATCGCCTGTGCAGTGGCCAGAACGCTGTAAGTATCACACATTCACACAAAATACACATTATATATACAACTAATTACAACGCTATTTAGTTCCCGGCATGGAGGAGTTCCTCACCATGAGCGAAACACCCATACACACACCAACCGCTGACTCGGCACAGATATTGTCCAGCAATAATATGGCCTCCATCAATCGTTAGTATAGCTGTCAGCCAGTTTGAAAGACCTTTAACAATATATTGAAACCATTACAGAGTTTGCACGCCTGCCGCCGGAACAGCTGGTCGAGAAAATTAAAGAGATGCATGACCAAATATATAAACTCGGCCTGCGTGAGTCCAAGGAAATGACGCGCGGCAAATTGTTGGGCATCTTTGATCGCGATCGCTTAACTCGGGCGAAAGCTATGCGCAATTAATTGTGTGGACCAACTGCGACTTCTTATTTCGCATTAATTATTTTTAGTTGTATTTATATAAGACATATTCACATAGATATATGTTGGCGTGTGGCTATCGATACCACAATTATAACAAATTATGTTCGTGAGCTATGCTGTTATGCTAGTCAACAATAAATAACATTTATTTTCCAATAAAGCATCAATATGGCATACACATGCGTATATATATATATATATCTTCTGTATAGTCTAAATGTAAACAAAAGGAAATCGATTTGAGGTTAGGATGTGGTACCAGATGCTCGGGTTGAGCTCGACATGGATCATGGTGAAGAGATCTGCGAGAAGAAGAGAGTGAGGCAAGGCACAGTATATAAATTCCTCTATGCATAACCCAACAACTAACTCAGTTGTGTGTGAGAGTGTGTGTGTGTGCGTATGGTGTGAACTCTAGGTGCAGGTACCATGTAGTATCTATATATATATATATATATGTATCATCATCAAGATGTGTCTAAACTTCAAACTCACATTTACAGCACATGGACATTTTTTTTTTTTTTTTTTTTTTTTGCAACAAACACTCACTAATACATGTACACATACTAATACTCATGCATAGACATACATATATATATGATTTGAATTTGAATCGGAGTACACCTATTCACGGTTGCCTTACGAAAAACGCATAAATGCGATTATTTTACTTAAATGTGCAATATGTTTCATAGCTTCATGTCTTATTAATCTAATAAATAAGCTAAAAATCGAACCTAACCTTAAAAAAAAGAAAACATAACCTCAAAAAGCAATAAATACAATCAAATAAATAAAAAGAAATAGAGAAAAAATGCGTACACTATTTTTGTTATATTCGCATACAATTTTGGCAACCGTGCGCCAGACCCACAGAACAGTCCCACAGCTTCAAGGTTTCAAGATTTACTCCTGCCACTGCATGGCAAAGCGCTGCTCGAACGTGATGCGATTGTAGACACCCACATCGGCCAGCTGCATGGGATCGGTGTGGTAAGCAAAGCGGCGTATATCAATCATCGCGGAATCGAACATCTCCTTCCATGTGGTCAAATCCGTGACGCTCATGTGTATGGGCAGCTGGGGATCGGGTATATCGATGGCCGCCTGGAGACGATCAAAGGCCTCGGCAACGGGGCCAACGGACAGATTCACCCAATATTCGGCCGGAAAGCGTTTATTCTCACAAAATGGCGCACCCTTGCGCATAATGAACACCAGCATGAGTATCTCGTAGCGTTCGGAGCTCTCATAGAAGCGCTTGGTGCGCGTCTTCTCCACAAAATCGATGAGCAGTATGAGCGGCGTATAATTCTGCAGATGCATGAGCAGCTCTCGATCTGTCCACAAATAGCGACCGCCAGCGCCGCTCTTCACATTCAGCATGCTCATATTGCTGGCCAACTGATGCTGATGATGATGATGATGGAACTGCTGCTGCTGCTGGTGCTGATGCTGCTGCTGGTGCTGATGATGGTTGGTCCCAGTTGCGGTATTTGGACCGGAGACACCGGCAGCGACGGCAGCTGTGCTGCCAGTTGCAGACGAAGTGCTCGGAGTGGGCATGCCAGCGAGAATGCCGATGCCGCCAGTTTGTCTCAAGCAGCCAACCTCCTCAACCATGTGCTGCAGCTGCAGGCAGGCAAATGCAATTAACCCTTAAGTGGCTGTGACTGTGGCTGTTGCTGTGCGCGGGGCCAACTAGGCCAAGGTCAGTCGCTGGGCCAGCGGCTGTGGGTGGGCCGTGCTGTCTGGCACCCAACTTGTTGCAATTGCACGCCTCTCAATTAATTAGTTAACTTTTAACCGATGCGTTTTTGTGTATATGATTTTACTATGTTTCAATTGATTGCTTGGGCCAATGCAAATTGTAAATGCAAAAACCGAGGACAAGTCGAGAGCAGCAGCGCTCCTTGCTGCACGTGCTGACTGGACGATTGTTGTGACGCGAGTGCGTGGCCGTGGCCAGAAATAGCCGATGGCGGCCGAACAGCAGTCAGACAGGACCAACGGACGACAGGCGAAGGCGAACGCGAACGCATCTCGGCTAAACGACATCTACGTCTCCGGCTGTTGCGCCTCCTTTACCGTTAAGCCTGCTGCATATGGCATATAGGCACACGTATTATATGTATGTATATGTGTGATGGCATAGCAACATACAGGTTTATAAATAAGTTTGTTTGTTTGTTTTTATATCGTTTGGTCTTATCCTTGAGTTTTTGTTACTTTACGTAAATACACTTAATTATTGTTGTATGAGCAAAATAGCTTAAAGAACATAATTCAATAAACTTGTTCTGTTTTGCTTGATATTATTTATAACTAGCTAAAGTAGACACTAATTTATGGGCTCCTGCAGTCGATAACAATCCGAGGCGATTTTCCATTTATCATTCTCAGCGGTTATGACAAAGGATTGCTGAAAGGTGCGCATCTGCTGTTCGGCATATTTAACCGTTCCGCTGGCCAAGATGATATACGTCGTCTGGCCACCCACAGCCGGGTCAAGGATGGGCTGCGAGTCCAGTGTGGTCAGCTGATGACGCGACGACGGCAACTCCAAGAAATACCTTTCGATTGTCTCCCGTCCCTGCGCTCCATTGCCGTTCCAGCTAAAGTTGGCCGTGTCTATATACAAACGACCCATTTGCTAAAAAAAAAAAAAAACCGAAAATGACAAATGAAACAATTGTTGCAATTGCCGGCTGGGCATACGTACATGGCGTCGATTGTCCAAAGAGGCGTAGTATAGACGCGTAAAGTCTTCGGCCGTGCGACAGCAGGCTTCCACTTTGGCCTTGAGCTCCTAATTAAAGATAAGACAGACATAAAATATTTCAATTATAATTGAAATTAATTCAAAACTCACGTTGTTCATCGCGTTTATTTCTTGGCCATTCGAAATGGCCCAACCACCAAGTGAGAAGGGTTGCAATTGCACGTATCGAGAAAAATAACAGCTGACACTTGAAGTTGGCTGCGCTCCGAATTCAAATTGGTGCGCCAATTCAATTCACAATTTTAAAGTGCAAATACACTCATCAAATAAGCAATTATAAGATGCTATTTAATACGAGCTGTTGAGATATATAATCTCCTAATTCCTAATAATAGTTACTAAAAAACAAGTCAAGAGAATTTACTAAATATCAGTACATGTTCGCGGTTGCCATAGCTTTTATAATAGAATTATTTCAGTTTTTTTTTATGATAACATTTTCGAATCGATAAATCGTTTAAATTATTGGCTCCTGCAGGCGATAACAATCCGAAGCGATTTTCCATTTATCATTCTCAGCGGTTATGACAAAGGATTGCTGGAAAATGCACGTCGGATGCTCAGCATATTTGACCGTTCCGCTGCCCAGGACCATATACGTGATCTGATCGCCCACAGCCGGGTCAAGGATGGGCTGAGAATCCAGCGTTGTCAGCTGATGACGCGACGGCGGCAAATCTAAGAACTGTTTTTCAATAGGCTCACGGCCCAGTGCTCCGTTGCCATTCCAGGTTAGCTTAGCACTCTCTATATACAAGCGACCCATTTGCTAAAAGTCCGCGAAAAACTTATACATTTGTTTTTTTTTTTTTTTTACAAGAATTGCCGACTGGGCATACGTACATGGCGCCGATTGTCCAAGGAGGCGTAGTATAGACGCGTAAATTCTTCGGCTGTGCGATTGCATGCTTCTATTTTTGCCCTTAGATCCTAATAAAGTTCATGTATTAAAAGTACTTACTTTAAATTTAGCACCTTACTCTGTTCATTCCGTTCATTTAAAGGTTGATTTTACGTATCCACAGGAAAGTTTGAAATACCCGTGCAGGCAAATGGCAAAGTATTCAATTAGAGCTGCTAAAGAACCGTTCTACCGATAACTCTTCAGGGTTTACTGTTAGCGCGTTGCCTGCATTTATGCGTCTGTCTTTCAAATCTGGCACAACAGTTTTTGTTGCTTTTGACAAAATTTTCAAGGTATTTTAGTTTCCGCACGCAGTGCACAGCAGCTTGGGCCCTTGCCGTCAGGCTGAGAAAAAAGATTTCGATAAATTATTTAGGCGCGCATCAAGGCGAATAGCGATCTATCGAGTTTACATTAATCGATATATTGCTGTTAACCACATCAGATAAACATGGCGCCTTACAAATTACTATTTGGCTGATAAAACTGACGTTTTGTATATTATGATAAGTATTATGATAAGTTTTCGGCGTCTAAAAAGTAAGACGAAAGCACATTTCAACAAATTCGTTACATTTCACTAAAACTCAAGTTGACTTTTGCACCTTCCAAATGGAAACCTATTTGGTAAAAGAAATATAAACAAAGTTGTTCAAAGGTAATTTTTGCAACTAGCCTTTGGCATACGTACATCGCATCCAAAAGTAACATTTTTATGAAAATATAAAAAAAATAAAATACAGGGACAACCTTAAATAGAACTCTTAAAAAAGGTTTTAAGTTTTGTGCATACTTTGATATCTGCCTAAAATTGATATGATTCATAACTTACGAAAATCTCAATGCAGTCCTTGTAAAATCCACAGAACAAATTTTTAATGGTTTATTGAACCCGCGATGAGAACTTGCTTCGTACAACTCCTGCGACTAAATGCGTTAGCTGTCACTGTTACTTTGAGAAAAACAAAATGGCGTTGATAATGAGCGCGCGTTAAGGCGAATAGCGATTAATCGAAGCCGCTGCCTCTATAGTTAACGGCGATATCTCTATTGCTCAAGCTGCCGCCCCTCCTTAGTTAAACCTCCTCCTGCCACCACTGCTTGAAGTGAAGTCTATGAGACCCACTTGAATTCATGAGAATCGCTGAGTAGGGCTTAACACACATGCACATATTCGTACAAGCATTCATACATAATTCATACATAGAAGGTTGCTTATATATATATACACACACATGTATATGCGTAGGCACTTACATACATACATACACATACTCTGCATAATACATACATACGTACACATATTAATAAGTACATATACATATACGTACGCATGCAGAAACATACTTACAAACACACACATGCATGCATGCATGCATGCATGCATGCATACATACATTCATACACATACATACACGTACAAAAATACATGCATGCCACACACATCCATACACACATCGTATATGTACAATATGTACAATTCCAAAATCGCCAATTTTTTGGTTCAGATAATACAAAAAATCATTAAATTAGGTTGACTTTACAAACGAAACGGTTTTTGGTCAACAACTTTTTTGAGCCCATCGATATTTAAAATGTTTGACTGACAAAAATATAGTAGGGATCCGTACAAATTCAAAAAGGTATAATATATAATATCAGACATTATTTACCCGAGATATAAAAAAAAAATCATCGAAAAAGTTTCGATTTTCGCACCGACTTCGATTTTGATAGAAATCGTGATGATTTGGAAGGTCATATCTCCGCGCGGAGCTAATACCCGAGATATTATGTCGTTTTGGAAGGTCATATCTCCGCGCGGAGCTATTATCCGAGATATTATGTCGTTTCGAAACGTCATATCTCCAGCGGAGCTATTATCCGAGATATTATGTCGTTTTGGAACGTCATATCTCAGCGCGGAGCTATTACCCGAGATATTAAGCAATAAATCATCGAAAAAGTTTTAATTTTCGAGCCGACCCCGATTTTGGGAAAAAACGATGTAACCACTTGCCATTTGGTCAATTTTGGTCAAAATTTAGATATTCATATTTTTGATGCCAATCGTTAGAACTGATCCTTACGAGCATAAAATGGTATACAATTCCAAAATCGGCAATTTTTTGGCAGAGATATTACAAAAAATCATCAAAACAGGTTGACTTTACAAACGAATGGGTTTTTGGTCAACAACTTTTTTTAGCCCATCGATATTTAAAATGTTTGACTGACAATTTATAGTAGGCATCCGTACAAATTCAAAAAGGTGTAAAATTAAAAAATCGGACATTTTTTGGGCGAGATATAAAAAAAAAATCATCGAAAAAGTTTCGATTTTCGCACCGACCTCGATTTTTAAAAAAATCGTGATGATTTGGAAGGTCATATCTCCGCGCGGAGTTATGTCGTTTCGAAACGTCATATCTCCAGCGGAGCTATTATCCGAGATATTATGTCGTTTCGAAACGTCATATCTCCAGCGGAGCTATTACCCGAGATATTATGTCGTTTCGAAACGTCATATCTCCGCGCGGGGCTATTACCCGAGATATTATGTCGTTTTGGAACGTCATATCTCCAACGTAGCTATTACCCGAGATATTAAAAAAAATCATCGAAAAAGTTTCCATTTTCGCACCGACCTCGATTTTGATAGAAATCGTGATGATTTGGAAGGTCATATCTCCGCGCGGAGTTATGTCGTTTCGAAACGTCATATCTCCGCGCGGAGCTATTACCCGAGATATTAAGCAATAAATCATCGAACAAGTTTTAATCTTCGAGCCGACCCCGATTTTGGCAAAAAACGTGATGCCATTTGCCTTGCCATTTGGTCAATGTTGGTCAAAATTTAGATATATATATTTTTGACGCCAGCTTCCAACTTAGCTCGGGATTGGGCTGCGTTTTGATCGACAATCACGTCAGTTTGTACATTAAAGAGATGATTAATTTATTGGCTGCTTAACGCGATACAAATCTGAGGAGATTTTCCATTTATCATTCTCAGAGGTAACGAGAAAGACTTGAGTGAAGGTGCACATCGGCTGCTCCGGGTACTGGACGATTCCGCCGACCAGGATCGTGGTTGTCAGCTGATTCCCCACAATGGAGGCCGGCATGGGCAAGGCATCCAGCGTTTTCAGCTCATGATGCGACGACGGCAATTCCACGAACTTTTGTAAAATGGCCTTGCGGCCATAGGTGCAAATGCCATTCCAGGTTAATTTCGCATTTTCCAAATAGAAATAGCCCATTTCCTGCAATAATCAACAACATGAACTGCTGCAATTGCCGTAATCGACGTACGTACATCGCGCCGATTGTCCAGAAAGGCGTAGTACAAGCCCGTAAAGTCTACGGCCGTACGGGCGCACAGTTCCAGATTGGCCTTAAGCTCCTAATGTCAGTTATTGCCGTTGATAACATCTCTCTTTTTTAAATTTCATTTAAAAAAACTCACGTTATTCATCGCCTTTGTATTTCACTGAGTGAGCGGGACTCCAGTTTTCAGATTTCGGCGAGTTTCGCAGTGAAATTGGCTGCGCTACGATTGACATAAATGCAGCTCACAGTTTCGAATACCCTTGCAGGCAACAAATTGTGTATAGAAAATAATTGTTACCTTTTAATAAAAAAAAAAAAAGTAAAAAGTAATATACGCTTTTCACTCATTTGTAGGGCATAAAAACACGAACGAATTCCCATAGGAAATATAAAAGACCTGTTATGGAACTTTGGGGAAATGCTTGATGTTTGTGCCCTGCTTTAAATTGTAATCATTTACAACTTACGGCAAGCTCAATGCGGCTGATGTTACGCTTGCAGCTCTCGTTTCTTAGCAAAGGGTTAACGCAATATATATGATCCCGCACTGAGAACTCACTTCGTACAGCTCCTGCGACAAAATGCGTTAGCTGTCACTGTCAGTTTGAGAAAAACAAAATGGCGTCGATAATTGGCGCGCGTCCAGGCGAATAGCGATCTATCGACTTTGCAATAATCGATATATGATTATCGATGAAATCGCATTGATTGGTTGCTGGCACAGCAATAACAATAAATTCGATAATATTAATAATAGACGAGCAATGAAACAATGTTAGAAATAAAAACCTTAAGCAAGGTTGACTTTTGCTTTTCTGTCAGCAAAGAAAAACTGTTGAACACACTTGAACAAGTTAATTGTTTGCTATGCCTCACTACTGACAATAGCTATTAAAACATTAATTTATTGACTATATATATATATATATTATTTTTGTACATCAACTGATAATCAATAAACCTATAACAGGCGATAGCAATCCGAGGTGATACTCCATTTGTTGTTCTCCTGGGCTATAACAAAGGACTGATTAAAGGCGCGCAACGGCTGCCCAACGTACAGGACTGTTCCACTGGTCATTATGATATACGTGGGCTGACCCCCCAAGGAGTAGAGGAACGGCTGAGAGTCGAGCGTTTGCAGTTCATGACGCGACGGTGGCAAGTCCAAGAATACCTTTTGGATGGCCTGACGGCCCAGTATTTCATTATGATTCCAGGTCAATTTAGCGCTGTCTAAATAGAAATTACCCATTTTCTGCAAGAATCAAGAATCATAATATGGCAATAAATATGCCAATTGTTGATTGATGTACGTACATCGCGTCGACTGTCAATAAAATTATAGTACAGATCCGCAAAGTCATCGGTCGTCTGACAGCAGTCCTCTACTATGGAGTCTATATCCTAATAAAAGATTTCGTTTAATAATGCATAGTTGTCCATTTCATTTCAATGCATTGACACTCACATTGTTCAGTGTATCCATTTGTTTTCTATTTAAATGAAATCACGGAAAGGGGAGAACTGCAATTTGCAGATATCGATTGACAGCGTGCAGTGAAGTTGGCTGCGCTTTAAATGACAAACGGTGCGAAAGTTCAGTTCACAGTTTTAAAATTGTCAACTGTCAATTTGTAAGGCACCAATTAAATATATTAACTCGAACGATATCGTTTCAGCGCTATTTATGATAAATTTGGGTGAAGTTCTTAAGATTCCCACATCATTTTGCAAGCAATTTAAATGCATTAGTTCTTTTCACACACCGTGCAAGCTTATACTTTATCTTTAAAACCGTGCAGAGCTTTCGTAACTGACAACACTTTTTGCATAATTTCAAATGCAAACGCTTATACGATGCAGAAATTAAGTGTTCTCTCGCAAGCCGGAACAAACATCCAGCTTACCAAAAAAAAACCCACAAAACTGTCGTATTTTCAAAAAGTTAATCCAAGCTCACTACGCACAACTCCTGTCAGATTGAAAGAAAAAAAACAAAATGGTGTCGATGATAGGCGCGCGTTAAGGCGAATATCAGGTTATCGACTTCAGTTATCGATATATCGTTATAAATTAAAGCTAGCGTTGCACGGGCTGCGATAGTTGAGCCTTCAAGATTCATCGCACGCGGTATCGATGCTTCACGGCAACTTTTAATTGCCTGTATTTAAAAATAATACAAACAAATGGAATCCCGATAAAAGTAACTTAGCGAAGTAGACACGACTCCGACTCTCTAGCATTTATTACCAATTACAGCTACATCGATGGCTCGACACTGAGGACCCAGATAGGGTTTGGCCAACATAGCGGTAATCTGTTGCAAACGGGCGACAAGAAAACCGGGCATAGAAACTTGCACGCACATATACATATGTATATTATATTTGTGTATAAGGACTACACTAGACATTACCACGTGATACAATTTGAGACGAACAAAAAGCAAAATAGTTACCGAAACGTTGATCAATAACGAATCAGGTTGGTTATGGGAAAGGAGCGACGCAAACTCATGCACTTCTCACGATCGATGAACAGGGCGTTGACCTTGTTGCGCAGATCCTCCTCCAGGATGCAGCGGGTCTTGAGCAAAGATTGATGGGTGGCCTCCGCCTGCTGCAGCTTATGATGCAGCACATCGACAGTGCCTTGCAAGTCCTGCACCTCCAGCACTAGGCGATCGTGGGCTGTGTCCCTGGACGAGAATGCGGCAGGTTAGCGCGAGCATACAAAGATAAACATGAATTAATTCACGACTTACTTGCACAGCTCCATGCCCTCACGATGAGAGCGCGCCTCGAGGCGAGTCTGCGCCACCTTAAGCGGATTCGATTTGTCCTGTATGGCCTTCTGCAGCAGAAATAGATGTTTCTCCATATCGAACAGCTCCTGCTGCACTTTCTGTAGATGCATCTGTACGCGACTCTTTGCGCCGGCCATTTCCTGGGCGCGCCTATCCAGCGCATTGTTCGTATTGTTCCAGAAGTCCCAGACAGAGGAGGCAACGGCATTGACCACGTTCTGTGAGTCGCTGCGCAGCTGCGACAACTTGGCCCGTTCCGCCTGCGAACTGAATTCGTATGCCAAACAATTTGATGGGCATTATATTGGGGAAATGGAAAACTAAATGTAACCTCTTACCGCTTGACATGCTCACTGCTGGCCAGTGCCCAGGAGTCCTGGGTGCTGACAGTCGGATCGTACTTCTCGATGCCACCGAAATAGGTGATGCCGCGACTAAAGTTGTTCAGGCGATGGCACATGGAATCAATGCCCATGGTGGACTCCTTTTGTGTTACATCGATTTCCAGCAAATGCTGGGCGCCACGGCAGTCGATCGCCTGCTTGGCAATCTTCTCGTGCAGCTCCTTGAGGCGATCGCGCGAATTGCGCAAATGATTGATCTCCAACAGTAGCGCCTTCTCCACATTATCGTGCACCTTCTCCATGCCCTGGCGTCCCTCGCGATGGAATAGACACTCCTGGGCGATGTGCAGCGGTATCTCCAGGTCCAGCATCGCCTTGCCGCACTGCCGCTGCAGCTCATTGATGCCGGACATCTCGCCAATCAACTTCTCCAGCTCGGCATTTAGCTCGTTGCGCCAAAATGTCAAATCCGTAATGCGTTCACCCAAACGACGTCCGGCGTCCCGCTGGCCCATCGATGCCGTCTCGTCCGTTTCGCGCATCAGACGCACTGCATCATTGCGCATACGCTCCGACATGTTGCTGCGCCGCATGAATCAGCTAAAGTTGAGTGGACAGCATTCCATATGGACATATAAATTACACTCACCGATTCGTGTTTGACTCGCCGTAGATGCCCAGATTATTGTTGTGCCACTCGTTGTTGGTGTAGCGCGTGTAGAGTGCGGCACGTGCCGCATGCTGTGGATTGCGCTCGAATCCGGTAACTAGATTCGGAAATATCATGCCCTCCGTTTTCATGCCCTGCGGCACAAAGCATGGCTGCGTCATCTGATTGGTAACCGGCTGCTCCGGCATATGCTTCACCTCGATCATCTCGAAGGCCATTTTGGGCCGCCACGGATGCCGCTGTGTTGTCTCATAGGAGGCGGCCAGGCGAGATGGCACCGTCGCACCACTGATGGGCTCCATGCAGGGCGGCGCACCCGCATGGCTCCATGGCTGCAATTGAGAATACATGACGCTCTGGGTCGGCAACGCAGTGTTTCCATCGTGCTGGTTCGACATGATTGCTGCTGTGTTTGATACTCCGAAAATTTCAACTACTTGGAATTTGGTGCAACTACTTTAAAGGTAAAATAAAAAAAAAAAAAAAAAAAAATACGGCGCGAAAAATATTCCTACACGATATGAAGTTGTGCGAGATTGTAAGATAACTAAATAATAAAAATATACTTAGCATTAGATAATAAATCAGAGCCTACTGCTGTACATATTGCATAAATCAATGTTCTATTTATGTCTTTGGTGCGTGCCTGGTGCTGGTCAGATATGATAGGCTGATAGATGATACATATGATTCCATGAGATTGCGATGATCCTTGCGCTCTTTGTACTCGTTCATGTCCGCTGTGGGCCATTTATCAAGCAGATTATCCTTGACCAAACGATGATCAAATTTCCGATTTTCAAGATATAAGTGCTTTTGATTTTTGGTGATCTCATGACCCTTCAGTGGTGCCATGGCATCCAATAGGTTTTGTGCTTGATCACTCACAATGGGCACACTTGAGCGCAATAGCAGATTCTTGAGGGTTTCGGGCGCCTTCTGCGGATTTGGATTTCGTTGCCTTGATAAATTATCCTCGGTCGCCCAGCAGAGCATTTGCAATAAAATGGCCTATGCACCGACAGCCAGTATGTAACTATAAACACTGGAATTCCGCAACTAAAGACGACTCATTGTTGGCAATTGACTTAAATATTGATTTAACTTGGCTTGGTAACTTAGTACCCGCTGTGGTTGTTGATAGCGTGCGTTTTGTAAAATCAATGGCATCGAGTTGTATTGTGTTGTATTGTTGTATGGTTTAAGTTCAATGTCCAACTTGACGACATGCAAAATTAGGGCAGACTACTGCTTATTTTACTTACATATTCATAAGAGCAAAGGAGTCGTTAAATTGCAGTTTGAACGCAGCGCCAAAATGCACAGAATAAATATCGATATATCAATATCGATATATTGATCGTGTTTCTTTAATTTAAAACAAATAAACACAATTACTTAAAATTTGAAAATATTTGCTGATTGTTTGAAAATTTAAATACACTAATTAAATTAGATATGCCGATAAAAAAAAAATATTTAAAAAGCATAAAAATAATGAATTTCCCATATATGTGTTAACACAATTAATCGTTAGAGCAGACACATACTCATGGATGCGTGTCACGCACGGCATGCCGCAGTGTGAGTGTATACACATGACTAACACACAGATGTGCGATGTGCCCCACGACGAACACGGTCAACGTAAAAAAAAAAAAACAGTAGACAACACTTGCAAATCGAAACGAAACGCTGGCTGAAAGAAAGCAGGCGAAGGCAACCTAATCAAATCACATACGAATGTGACAGTCTACACAGTTCGAATACTACGGGTTTGATTGAGCCATTTGCACAGCACGCGAATAATATTTAAAATAGCGGAGTACAACCAAATTCGATGCCATGAGCGCCAACAAACCAAGCGAGGCGCTTACAGCGGCAACAACAGCAACAACAACAGCAACAACAGTAACAACAACGTCAAGTGCGGCCGCCAGCGAGGCGGATGCCGAAACATCGGATGCCGCCACAGGAACAGCGGCTGCAATTGCGACTGACGACTCTGGCACACTGGAGGCTGAGGAGCGGTTGGCCGAACTGAATCAGTTTATTGGCGAGCTGCAGGAGAAGATCGACGCAAAGCGTCAGCTGCGCCAGCAGAATGCCAACTTTGAGCTGCCCGGCGATGAGTATTTTGCGCGCCTTGACTCTAGCCTGAAGAAGAATACGGCATTTGTGAAGAAGCTGAAGGTCTTTACGAGCACACAGCTGGAGGCGCTGCTGCGCGAACTGTCCGCTTTGAATCTAAGCAAATATATTTCCGAAATATGTGCTGCACTGGCCGAGGCCAAGCTCAAGATGACAGATGTGCCCGCTGTGGTTACATTGGCCTCCAAGCTGCACTGCACCTACGCGGACTTTAATACGCAGTTTCTCGAGGCATGGCAGAAGGCACTTAATATCAAAGCTACCGAGAAGATAAGCAATCCGAGTAAATTGCGCGTGGATTTGCGTCTGTTCGCCGAGCTGGTCAGCTCTGGCGTCATACAGATGAAGCCGGGCTTGGCGCTGCTGGGCATGGTGCTGGTGCAGCTGATAGCCCAGGACAAGGATGATCATAGTAACTTTTCCATAATATTATCGTTTTGCCGACATTGCGGCGAGGAATATGCCGGCCTGGTGCCACAAAAGATGCAACAGCTGGCCAACAAGTATCAGGTGGAGGTGCCGAAATCGGATTTTTTGAGCGCCGACAAACAGCTTAATCTACGCACCATGCTCAAGGGCTATTTTAAGGCGCTCTGCAAGCACGTTCTGGCCGAGCAGGCCGCATTGATGAACATGACCAAAAACATACGCCGCACCATGGAGTGTAAGGGTGAAATAAGCCAGGAGAAACGCGAGAAATGTGAACTGATGCAGGCGAGCTTTGACAAGCTGCTCGCCTCGGCCCAATCGCTGTCGGAACTGTTAGGCGAACCGCTGCCGGAGCTGACCAAAGAATCCGAATGCTGCAATCCGGGCACTGTCATTGACAATATGCTGGACAGCGCCGCCTTTGGCACACTGGATCCCTGGGGCGATGAGGAGACGCGCGCTTTCTACACTGATTTGCCCGATTTGCGTCAGTTTCTGCCCAACTTTTCGGCACCTAAAGTCGATCTGGAGACACTAGAAGAGCCCAGCGAGCTGACCGAAGAGGCCATCGATGCCAATATCGATGCGGAACTGGACATGGATGATCCGCCCTCAACGGCCAGCGACACGGCCCTCGACAAGGAGCAGGAGGAGCAGCCAACAGCTGCCACGCCCACGGCAGAGGCAGCTGCTACCGCCGGAGCTGCAGCTACTGCACCTGTTGTGCCGATAGACAAGAAAATGGGCAGCGCACTCATGGAACTGGGACGCCAGCAGCAGCAACAGCAACAACAACAGCAAACGGTGAGTAGGCCATCCATATAGAGCTCTAAACAAGCTTTAGATGGATGCATCTTCCAATCCATTAAGTATAGTCTTAAGGCTATAGGAGAGCTATATCGATCGGTCGATAGGCCAGTTAGACTCTATATACTAATAACACATCTCTTTCTCTGTCTGTCTCTCTCTCTCGCTCGCTCTATCTCTCTCTGACTGATCCCATGCAGCAGCAACAACAACAGGCACAATCGCAGAGCCAACAACTGCGCCAGCAATTCGACGTGTTCCTTTTAAATCTATTCAATTGCGTTAACAAGGAGCTGATCGATTCGGCGGCAATAGAATTTCTGCTTAATTATAATACAAAGCATCAGCGCAAGAAGCTGACCAAGACGATTTTTAGTGTGCAGCGTACGCGGCTCGATATATTGCCATATCTGTCGAGATTTGTGGCAATTGTGCATATGTGCAATACGGACGTGGCCGCCGATCTGTCCGATTTGCTGCGCAAGGAATTCAAATGGCATATACGCAAGAAGAACCAACTGAATATTGAGTCAAAGCTGAAGATTGTCCGCTTCATTGGCGAACTGGTCAAGTTTGGGCTGTTTAAGAAATTCGATGCCCTCGGCTGCCTGAAGATGCTGTTGCGCGACTTTATACACCATCACATCGAGATGGCGTGCGCCTTTGTGGAGGTCAGCGGTGTCTATCTATACAATTGCCGTGATTCGCGACTCTTGATGAACGTCTTTCTCGATCAAATGCTGCGCATGAAGACGGCAACGGCCATGGATTCACGACATGCGGCACAAATCGAGAGCGTCTATTATTTGGTAAAGCCGCCAGAATCGGCTAAGCGCGAGATAACACCGCGTCCGCCCATGCACGAGTATATACGACATCTGATCTTTGAGGAGCTGTGCAAACAGAATGTCGAGCGTTGCATCAAAATGCTGCGACGCATCAATTGGCAGGATCCGGAGATAAGCAGCTATGCCATCAAATGTCTCAGCAAGGCATATTTGTTGCGCTTTCCGCTCATACGCTGCCTGGCCGATCTGGTCTCTGGGCTGAGCTCCTATCAGCCGCGCGCTGTCACCATTGTCATTGACAACGTGTTTGAGGATATACGCGCCGGGCTGGAGATACACTCGCCCAAGATGTCGCAGCGTCGCATCGCCATGGCCAAATATCTGGGCGAGATGTATAACTATAAGCTGGTCGAGTCAACACATATACTTAATACACTGTATTCGATAATATCGCTCGGCGTGACATTGGATCAGTCTGTGATCTCGCCGCTGGATCCGCCCGAGAGTCTGTTTCGCCTTAAGCTGGCATGCATGCTGCTGGATACCTGCGGCCCCTACTTTACCAGCCAGGCCACGCGCAAGAAGTAAGTCCCGTCAATATTTCTTCACACGTAATTAAACTTATAACCAACTAATTTTGAATTCTCTTCACAGATTGGACTACTTTTTGGTGTTCTTTCAGCACTATTATTGGCACAAGAAATCGCATCCGGTATTTAGCAAATCGGAGAACACCTCGGATCTGTTTCCCATACTCGTCGATCACACCTATCGCGATTGTTTGGCCGGTGTGCGACCCAAGCTCAAGCTGTATAAGAATCTGGAGCAGGCCAAGGAGGCCATTGATCAGCTGCAGGAGCAACTGTATCCGCAGCTTAAGGCCAACAATAATGCCCAGGATGCCAGCCTGACGACCATTAGCGAAATCAACGAATTGGACGAGGGCGTAAGTTGCATGGACAACGTTTTTAATGGCCGTTCCATAGATTCAATTCATACTCAACGTTTCCGCTTTTCAATTGCGTTTAGGTAACGGATGATTCGGCTGGCTCATCGAATGATCAGCGCGAACGTCAGGCCGCTGGTGGCTCGGAGGCCGATCAGGCTAACGATTGGACTGAATATGAGGCAGAGCCAGCGCCGCCGCCACCGCCGCCAGAGAAATCCAAAGAGGATCTTGAATTTGAGCAAATGTACGAAAAGATGACCAGCGATTCGTATCAGGAGCGTCTCAAGGAGCCGCCACTCAAAGCCACCAACAAAGATATACCTGTGCCCATGATGGCACGCCTGCAAAAGAAATCCTATGACCAGATAATGGGCAACAACGTGCCACAGATCTCAAAGACCTGCGCAAATGCTGCTGCCGCGTCTGCCGCCAACGCCAATGCTCACGCCCACGCCCATGCCTCGGATAGCGTCAACAATTTACCAGCCAACGCAGCCGCATGCAGCGATACGCCCGCCGCAGAGGGTGGTGGCAGCGGCGGCGGCGGCGGTGGCAGCGGCAGCAAGGGCAGCGGCGCTGTATCCTTTGTGCTGATGGTGCGCGGCAATAAGGGTGGCAAGCAGCAGTTCAAGTCATTTGTGGCCCCATCGGACTCGCAGCTGGCCATCAATCTAAGGCTACAGGAGCAGAAAACGCGAGAGGAGAAAGAGAAAGTGAAACGCCTTACGCTAAACATAACCGAACGCATCGAGGAGGAGGACTATCAGGAGTCGCTGCTGCCGCTGCAACAGCGCAACTTTACACAGAGCTATTACCAGAAGCCCAACAAGCACAAGTTCAAGCATCAAAAGGGTGCACCCGACGCAGATTTGATCTTTCACTAAGTGTCACCTGTTACCAGTCACCTGGTTGCCAAAGCGTTATCAAACAGACCAACAAACAGCGCCTGTCTGCCCAACGCCTGCCTGCCCGATCGAACGACCGCCCGACCGCCCGCCCGCCCGCCTGCCTGCCTGCCTGTCTGCTCAGACGCTCCAAGAGCAATCAATGCAAAGATATCTCTATGTATGTCCAGAGCCATAGACTGGCGTTCACAAGATGCCTTCAATTGCATATGGGCGGACGGACTAGCCAATGCCCAACTATGTCTGTGTACCCATTGTTAGCTCCTTTATATTGTTGTGGAACGTACTTAAGTTGGAGTGTTCTAATCACGCCAAGGCGTCTATGGCGAGCCTAGGCTCACACACTTACACACACACACACAAATGTATATATATATATATGTGTATCTCTATAAGTATATATTTATATATACATATATTTATATATATATATATATATGTACGGCTAATATGTGTTATTCATAATTCTATGGTTATGTACATAGACTTATAAAGATTTTATAATTGTGTAGATAATAGCAGCGCCCAGACTTGTTGAGAAAACATATTTTGTTTTTTTATTCAATAAACAAAACCCAAAAATCAAAAATTTCATGAAACATCTTAATTAGCGCCATAAACTCAACGCTCTCCTCTGTTGAAGCGCACTTTCATAAAAAAAACTGTCAAATATATTCCAAACAAAATAAGAGCAGGTCTTATTCTCGTTAACATAGACGACTCGTAAAAGATATTTGTTTTTTTTTTATCTTTACAATGAGTTTAACAAAAAGGAACTCGCAAGTTATCAATCACAACAACTGGTCAGCTATTATGATTGCTTAGCTGAGCGACCAGTAAAAAATATAAATTATTTCATTTCAACAAGGTAGAAAACAAAATAGAACTAAGGCTTGACTAAAAGAAATTTGTTGTTGTTGCTCCAAGATTTCACTTACAAACAGTTCTTAAAGATCTTAACAAGAAGAAAAACTTACTTTGACAAACAGTTTTCAAATATTCTCAGGCACAATAACAGCTCCTCTAGCTTATAATGCTTGAGCATTAAGCCAATACTTAAGCCTACTTGATTCAATTTAAACTAGTCTTAAACAGTTCTTAAGTGCTACGAAACAAGATGCTTTGGAGATAGAATTCATTTGATATTAAGAACGTAAACTCTCAAGGTTTCTATAGTTCTGCATAATACTCAATCAGGCATCGAGACTTTACAACGAATTGTTAAATGCTCAATTAAACTTGGGTTTAAATCTCATCTCAGATTCTTTAAGTGCAGATTTGAATGTGGAACCCAATTTGGTTTGAACGTCTGCTGTGAAACTTATTTCTAAATGTCAACATCTCCAGTCTGCTCGACAGCTTGGGAGGAACTGTTGGTTATGTGTTTGTCAACCATGGCATATGCGTCACAATTGTCCAGCCGGATCAGCGGTTGGCGTCTGCGCATTCGCAGTCCTGGACTCGGTATTGAGCAGCATGGCCCAGTCTTCGAGTTTATGCCCCACGCTCTGCGATGGAGTTTGTGTCAATTGTTTATCAATGACCATGGCATCCATTGCCCAATCTAGATTATTGTTATTTTCCAGCTCCTCGTTTGGCTTCTTTATCAGCTGTTTATCAATGGCAATTGATCCGGCATTAAGAAGCAGGGCTTCGAGTACCCAGTTATCAATATTGTTCTCCAGCTCTTGGATTTGGGCTCGTGTCAACTGTGTATTAATGTCAAATGACTCGGTATTAAGGAGCATGGCATCTATTGCCCAGTCTTCTAGCTGTTGGTTGGGCATCTGTGTCAGCTGCATATCTTTGGTGATTGACTCGGCTTTGAGGGGCATATCATTCTCCAGCTCTTGGGTTGACTGTGCATCAATGGACATGGACTCGATATTAAGTAGCATGGCATCGAGTGCCCAATCTTCATCATTACTCGCCAGCTCAGGAGTTGGCGCGTGGATTAGCTGTGTATCGATGGACATTGACAGGCTATTGATGTGCATGGCATCCAGTGCGCCGACTTCATTATTAAGCTCCAACGTCTCCGAATGCCACAAATGCGATTCACCGATATCGCTGACACTGAGCCGAGCAACGTCCTTTGGCGTTGGCGTTTCCTGCAGTGCAACCGATTCGCTGTACTTTTGTTTGCTGCGCCAACGATCGAGCCGGCAGTTATTATCTTTCTTCAGCTGGCAGCTGCGTATGTGATTGCATTTGGCTATTTCATCATCCGTATAGGGCACTACCTCACGCCTGTGCACGGCCCTGATCAACATGGCATTGATGTAGCAATCGGAACGCTTGGCCAGACGATCCTTACGCCGCAGTCGCCGCTTGGCATCCCACACACAATTGAAGAGCGTCATATTAACGCGCAGCTTGGTTCGGCGGCATAACATGTTCACCTCGTCGGCACTGTGCTTCCGCCTCAAATCGCTGTTTTTGACTTTCTATGGAAATTGAGTTTCGTGTTGAACTGGCGCGATCTTTGTTTTGTTGTACTTACGAGTGCTGCATACATTTGCTTTAAGCGTTGCTTGTCATCTGCATCCACTGCCAGGCTTAATATCTTTTCTTCCTCCTCATTTTGATAGTTAATCAGCGCCCGTGTCAAGCTATGCGGCATATATTGCAACATCCTGACATATGTTAAGAAGCAACTGTAAATTTAAGCTCTGTTGCTGGCCGCTCAATAAGCACATTTTCTGGTATTTTCTTTCGCTGCAAGCAGCGGTCACACTGTGCAGCACAGCTCGGCCAATAGAATTTGAATTTGGTAAGCTGCCGATTTAACTGGAACTGATTAAGTATCGATGCTCCATAGGGTATTTCAGAATATCTGGCAAGGCATTTGGCAATAATTTGCCTTACGTCTCAAACTAACGGCCTCCAACTTATAATAGTCCACTTATAACTGGATATATATATATGCGTATAGTCTAGGCATTGTTAATTTTACATGAATGCAGAATTTGTATTTTAAAAAAAAATAGGTACATATTAATATTTTATAATTGAAACTCGACATTTATTTTTCCGTTTCTTTTTTATTTCATTAAAATTAGCATCAAACAGTTTTTATTATATGTTTATTATTTGATATTTCAATAAAATTGCCAGTGTTTCCACACTGTTTTTTTTTCAATTAATTATTTACTCTTTACTTTTTTTTATTTAATGTTTTATTTTTTTATACACTCAACTACGTTTTATTTTGTTGTTGTTAATCAGTAATCAGTACAAATTGCAAAAATATGTTGTTCTTTCTTCATCTTGTTTTATGTTTAATTATACTATTAATGATCAGAAAGTTGAAAAAGGCACGTTTCCTAAAAAGAAACTGGAACCTCTCGACGGTTCATAAATAAAAAAAAAAAAACGTGCCACAATTTGTTTTTTTTTTTTTCTTTTTGTTTGTCATATAAAATTAACAATTACAAGCTTAAATGTTAATACGCTTAAATATTAATTGTAAAGTTAGATTTAAAATAATAATATATAAAAAAAAAAATAATAAACATACATATAAGAAAAACACGAAAGAATTGACGGCAAACAAAAATTGGGCGTAAGTCCATAAAAGTTAACAAAATCAGTTTGTTTTTTTAGTTTTGTTTTTGTTTTGAAATTGGCATAAATTCAGTTTTGTTGTTTTGTTTAGCTTTTTGGATCGTTTAGCTAATAAATACATTGCTAGCTTGCATGGACATTAATAAATTAGGCGATCCGAAAAGGCTTTGCCAAATACTTAAGTTACAAATTTTAAATGAAATAATAATATTAAGTATTACAATTTGTATAATGTGCTGCACACGCAAGTCTTGCATTCCAAAAGCATTTCATGTGACTTTCTTAACAATTGTTATTGTTTCGCTTTTGAATATTTGCGATTTTGGAAACTCTGCACAGATGAAATACATTTTACATATATTTTAAAAGCGGATCGTTCGTTGATTTCAGTTGATTTCATATAAGTAAATAGTTGTTAAGATTTGTTTGTAGATCGTTTGATTAGTTGATGCGTATGGATCAATTGTTGTTTGTGCGTTCCAAATTTTGTTGCTTGTTTTGGCTGTTCAGCAATGGAAGCTTTTCCACGTTCACACAAGTACATATATAAAATCTAAAATTTATGGTATATATATATATAAATATATATATGTATTGCAAGGCACAATTCGTTTGCTATGTGTATATAGAGTTTTTTTTTTTTATAAAACTTTGACTTAGTTACGAACGCGTTTCAATGGCAGTTTGACTTTAGTTCCAAGCATTTTGTTTTTGTTGTTTGTTTCTTGTTAAATGTGGCACGCGCACCGTTTTTTTTTTTTTTCTTATTTGAAGCTGCTTCATTTGTGTGGCTCGGAAGGGGTGAGGCGGGTAGGGGTGTGTGTGTGTGTGTGTGTTTGGGGGCGTGTTGATAGCAGGGGCAGTCGGTTGTTAAATGGCAAATTTCACTAAAGAAAACACAATGGGCAACTGTTGCTGGGTGCAGACGTTGCGAATTATTTGCCCGCATAGATGGGATTCTTGAAGGTGGATGTGGCCTGTTTGTATATAGGATTCTCGCCCTGCAATATCATAGATAATAATTATATTGGCAATTGTTGTTGCTCTCAATATGCTTACCGTGTCCCACTTGGCGTTCATGCGCTCCTTCTCGAAGCGCGCGAATTCGCGACGATCGTGTATGGTGGTCAGGAGCTTCCAAAGCAGCAATATGGCCAGGCCAATTAGGACAATGGCCGCAATGACGCCCAGCACAATGCCCAGCATAAAGACCTTGGGCGGGCATTCCTTCTCCTCCTGGGCATGCACAACCAGTTCACCCACTTCGCTATATTTGAACGTAAATTTGCAATCGTCCTCATCGAAGAAGACGCACAGCTGCTCATCCTTGTGCTCATCGATCTTGACCTTCTCAACGCCAACGGGCGTGAATGTTGTACAATTTTTGGCACAATCATCGCCATTCTTTAGCTCGCCCGTGTGATACATTTGACACTGGACGCAGTCCTTGAGCTCGTGACAACGGCCCGAGCATGTGGGACATTTGTCACAATATTTGCCCGAATAGCGGCCATCGTCGGTCGATTTGCATTTGCAGACGCCGCACTCGCAGGTGCCATGACCCGAACAGATCTCACCGCCATTCGGTGGCATGCATGTGTCCGTCGACGTCTGGCAGTCACAGCTGTTGCCCGTCCAGCCGGGCTTGCATACACAGCGATTGCACTCACAGATGCCGTGATCGGGCCCAGAGCATAGCAAATTCTTTCTACGCTCACAGCTAAAGTTCTCGCACTCACAATATTTGCCCGTAATGATCTCCTCGGGATTGGCACGCTTATGGCACTCGCATTCGCCGCACACACAACTACCGCGTCCATTGCATTCGGCGACACTCGTATCATTGCCGGGACGGCACATATTTACGTTGGCATTATTCAAGTGCACATCCAGCAATGAGCACTCGCACGTGTTGCCGAAATGCTGCTCATCGCATTCACAGATGCCGCACATGTACGTGCCATGATTGTGGCATTTCTGCGAGTGGATCTCGTAGCCAGTGGAGCCGGCATGCTCGCAGGGGCACGAGCACAGCATCTCCAGGTCAATGATCATGCTTTCATTGATGCCCACCGGATAGATTTGAATCACCTGAAAAATACGGATCAGTTTCACCATGATCAGAAACAATCAATTAAGTGCTACAGACGGCAGTGCCCGACTAGAAGATTCTCTGCACCCAGTCTAGAGCTGCCTTATTATGCTGCTTCTCACTTCGATGCTTATAGTCCACGATCTGTGGACTAATAGAGGCAACAAGTAATAATAATAATACTTCTCATCTACTATATCCTACAAGCCAAGTTTGATGTATCTTAAAATCGATATTACACAATAATTTATATTTTCAATTTCAAGAGTTCAAATGGACGAACAGATGAACAGACGGACAAATGGGGCTATTGATTAGAAGTTCCTCTACTTTTTACAACTTATCTATTCTCATGCGGAGTTTGTTTCTGTGTGTGGCTCATGAATTCCCAGGCACGTTTACTCTGTGAAAGGAGCACAAGAATTGGCGCCCTTTCCTTAATCTGTTCGCTGCTTAAGACATTTGGTAAAGTCAATTTATACGAAAAACATGATTTGAAACGATTTACTAAACCTGATTCCAGTCACGTGGATTGGCTGGGCATTTGGTGACCGTTATTTGGGCGGTGAATGTGACCTTGTCGCCGACCTTGAGACCGCTGCACTTGTTCGTTTTAATCTGTGGTCCATTGGTCAGGCAGCTGGACAAATACGTGATCTTAACATCACCCATGGCATTGTCCTTCATCTCCACCGACGAAGAGATTTTCTGTGAAATTGCAAAACAATTCTCGTTTATATAAAGAATAACAGATATGCATATGAAAGCACTCACACTATATTCCTCGCGCACCAGATCGACCACATTGGACGAATCGTTGGACAAAATGGCGCTGGATGAGCCCTCAATATGTCCGGAGAGCTTCTGATAGACGGAATACTGATTCTGTGTGACAGCAAAGATAATGTTGATCGCATTCTGTTTGACCTTTTGATTTATTTGCGATATGCTCGGATAATCCTGTATGATCGAATGCGTGTACATGCCCTGGCCATTCAAATGGCATTCGCCATCGTTGGGCGTTATAACGCCACCCAATTTACCATCGCCGGCATAATGGAAGCCCGCATCCGTTGAGAAGACAAGCAAGCGTCGAGCCTGCTCCCGCCAGCCAACCTGTTGGCGACAGGCAATCGCCTGCATGATGGCATCGAAGCCGCCTTCGGGTGCATCCAAATTGCCCGAGACAGCAGCCTGTTTCACCTCGTTCTGTCCATTTGTGTGTGCGTGTGTGTAGTAGTTAGAAAAAAATATGAATTAATCGAAAAACAAATAATCAAATTCGTTTGCTGTGGTGCATTTATTAGGCAGGCACACTCTTGCATACGTTTTTTTTAGTCGTAAGCGAAGCGTGTTCTCAATTTCAAAATCGATTTCGATGTCGTTTATCGATAACAGCAGTTGAAAATAATCGTTGACTTATCGATTGTTCTTTAGTTGGGAGCGAGAACATTTTTTGATTTAGTTGAGATTTCAGCATTTCGTTTATCGATAACCGTCGCTAATTTCAGATTGATTCCTGTCTATCGTTTATCGATGACTGTTGCTAGTTTAAAATAAACGTCAGCTCTGAGCATAATTTGATTGTTAATCGATAATTGATAGCTGCCAAAAGTTTAACTCAAGCCTCGATAATTAATGTTATGCTCGTTATTTATCTATTTAAATTGATCGATAAGCTATCGATTGGCAAAGACTTCTCGGTCCGATACATAAAGTATTTAATAAGATTTAACTCACACGCGCGTTTTTATTTATTTAATTTTTTTGCCAACTTAGAAAATTAAATTAAATTATTTGCAAGTTATCGATAATTTATCGATGTGAAATGAGTCTCAAAATTCAAGAATGAAGCTCATGGAGTTTTTATAGTCTGTTTCTCTTCTGATTACTAAAAGTATAAACTTGTTTGGATTGTCTGCTGTTATCGATAACTTATCGAATTTCGAAAATCGATCGACGGGTTTCAATCACGCCCAAAATTGAAGGTGACATAATATGTACTTTCACTTTTGTCTCTCGATTGGAAACAACGCTCGAATACGCTACGCAAACAGTTATCAATCTTTCAGCGGGCAAGCGTCTACCGATAAGATTGCCAACCCATATATACTTAGTATATATCATATCGACAAGAGTGTGCCAGGGACAATGCAAAACAACAAGACAAAGCTTTGATAGAGGTTAACTAAAGCAGTGTGGCATGCGGGCGACAGGGTTAAGCATATGAAACGACGAACTACGATCTTATCGAATGTGCAAAATGTATTAAAGTTAGAAAGTTCCAAGACCAATGCAAGAAATGCCAATGCCAAATGATATTTATATTAATATTAATAATAATAATACAACAAGTTATGTGCAATCAAATAATACAAGTGCAAACGAAACATAATTAATAAATCAATATTATAGTAAAAGAAATGTGGGCAAAAATAAATTCGTTGAGGGTTAGCAGCTAAACGAGATGTCTAAAAATGTATTGGACGTTTCTCAGATTGGATTAGATGGAACGGTTCTGCATCTAGTTACTTTTTGTTTTTGTTTTTTTTTTTTTTTTTTTTTAATTTTGGGCAGTTGACAACTTACAGAGAATCTATATGTGTCCATGCTCAAGCCCATGATGTTACGATAGCCATAGGGAGCATCGCATTTGGGGCATGGCTCCTCCAGGCTAAATTTTGTACGAATTTTGATTTTCGATATTTTTCAGATTTGGGGTATTTCGTTATTTAGTTTAAAGCAACAAGCAACCGATTTTTCACAAATTTTCATACACATATATAGATCGGAAAAAAAAATATATAGAGAGAGCGCAGGATAAGAGAGAGAGAGAGAGAGAGAGAGAGAGAGAGAGAGAGAGAGAAGAGAGTGGTGAGCATTTATGTATATGAGAAAAACTCAAAAATACAAATGATAAAAAAAAATAAATAAATAAACTAAAATAAAAGTAAAAGTAATTAAGAATATTGCAAAGTCGAATTTAGTGTGTGGCCAGACAGCAGCGTTGCCAGATTTGCCGAGTGCACAGTCTGGCAACCTTGATGCCGCCACATTTCATTATTACAACACAATTACATATATATATATATATGGATATATATATGAGTGCAACAGTCAAATGCCGTACGATATGGATAGATATATATGTTTACCGTTATAGATTAATGTGCGAATCGAGAATCAGACAAAGCAAAAGACAACATTCAACTTGCGTCAACGATCTGGCAGCACGAATATACCGCACGTGTTAAGTTGGCTGCGCCGGAAATCAAATAGTTGCTTGGCTTTTGCCTTTGCTGATTTTGGATCCAAACTTAAAATAAAATCACACACACACACAGATACACACACAGAATTATACAGACATGTAGTACCAATGCTTATGCTGATATAAAGAAGTTAAACAAATACATGAATACATAGTACGTACTATAGCTAAATATGTAAGAGATATGCATATAGATATGACAAAAAGGCATATACAATACGATACGATACGATACAATACGATAGGATATATATATATAGAGAGATGCGAAAGATACGATAGTTAGGCGGCAAGGCAACAAGGAAAATGGAATAGCAGATGGTATTTTAATGGGGCAAACACACAAAATGTAATGTAAAGCTAGATTTGAGATATGTGTAGAGTGCAACAATAGAGATATGTATTTAGTATATATATATATATATATATATATATGTATATAGATTAATTGGGGTCTTACAGAGAAGCTTTCGGTGTTATTGCTCAGTGGCATGTGATTGCGGTAACCATAGGGGGCCTTGCAGTTATCGCATGGATGCTCGAGCCTGTACAGATAAACATATATACACAAATATATATAAGTATATATATGTATATATATATTGATATGCATATATGTTATCGAACAGTTGTCGTTGGTTGATTGATGGTGATTTTGGTTGTTGTTTTTGTTGTAGTTGTTGTAGTTATTATTTTGTGGCGTTAGTTTTGGTATTTTGTTTGTTTCGCATAAAAGTAAAAATTAGGTAAAAGTTGGTTTGTTTTCAATTAGTCATTATAAAGATAGCAAGAGCATCAAGCTAAACTAAAATAAAATATATCAAAAAAAAAAAAAAACGTGAGTGCCTAGTCGGCAGTGCCCGACTAGCAGATACCCTGAACCCAACATACCTTAGCTCTAATCTAGGCAAATGTTTTTTCCTATTAGCATCGGTGTTTGTTGTCCGATCGTTAGGCAATTTTCGGATCGGAGATGCTTTCTTCTGACTACTTTACTTAGTTCAGGGTATAAACACATATGAACTGTTATTTTCGGCTAACCGAAAATCAAATACCCCTTTAAAGACATTTTTAGGGTATTTGATTTTCTCAATAAGCTGAATGCATTTTTTTTTTTGTTTATATATATTGTAAGGACAATTGTTGCTATTGTCAATGGAATTGTTCTCAATTAGAGGAAGCATTGTAAAACTTATTATTGTCAAATTTAATTGGCCAATTTTGAGTATCAAGATATCAGATATATATATATATATATGCCATCTGGAGTCGGACAAGTCGCCAACAAAGATTGTAAAAACGATGGAAACTTCTGAACGGGCATACAAACATTAATAAGTTAACATTATTCTAATTAAATTTCATTAAAATTTGTTTAGAAAGCGATTGTTTTTGTTCAAAATCTTGTTAGAAGAGACACAGAGAGAGAGAGAGAGAGTCGATGAGAATGTAAAGAGTTCTTAAATTGAAAATAAATAATTTCTAAATTTTGCAATACCTAAAATCAATAGACAAAGCTATTAATCATATACATAATCATCATACATATATAAAAGTTCTAGACTTAACGTTAACGTTGTCGTGACTAATTTCATTTGAATCCAACGAACGGATTCATCAAAGTCTCATCGTTTGCTCATAGTCATAATACTTAAGAGTCTTATCAACGTAAGTTGCGATAGCTTTTTGGGGCATAGCACTCACTTTTTGGGTATCGTGGATACGTAGGGCATTAGAACCTTGTCCACGAACGAGCCAAAGCCCAAGCGGAAATTGGATGTGATGCGCTTCATTGTCTCGGAGAGTTTGTCACCCAGTGCGGATAGCTTCTCTTTGTCGTCCTCCATAGACTTGGACAGATCCATCAAATAGTAGAGATCAACGGGATAGTCCTCGGCCTGTGAGTAGCTCACATCTAGATTGTGCACCTCATCTAGCAAAAAAAAACAAAATGCAAGAAATGAATACATTTATCGATGCAACAGCAATCGATTTATCGATAACTTACTGATGCGCAGCTTGAGGCTGACACGTTGCGGCTTTATCTGGACAATTTCACCAGCGGCAGCTGCGCCGCCAACTGCTGCTGAGCCGGCGGCACCGGAACTCGAACTGAAACCAGAGCTGGAACCGGAACTGGAGCTGGCGCCATAGCTGGAACTGGAACCGGATGCACCGTAAGAGCCAGACGAGGAGCTTTGTCCATGTGCACTGCTGCTCTGGTAGGAACCACCCGAGACATATTGTCCGCCCGCCCAAGCGGCACCTCCGCTGGCCAATGTCAGATCCTTGTTAATCAATATACGCTCCGATGTATCCGGATTCCAAATGAACTGCTCCGGACACACTTCCGCCTTGGGCGTGTGCAGAAAACAACGCGGCCGATCACCATAATCGGGCTTCATGCACCAGCCGCAATTCTGTGTCTGTATACACTCATGGCAGGTCACCTTATTCACGCACGGATTCTGCTCCAATTTGGCCGGCGACTGTTGGGATCCTTGGCTGGCGAGCGTCGACTGTTGTTGGGCCACCGTCGCTGGCCAATGCGTCGCTGTGCTGGCCAGGATGCACAGCAGTGCCACCTGCAACATCTGCAACAGCTGCGGCTGCAACATTGCTCTGCGAATCTTGCGGTGTGCAGGTGCGGCTGCAGGTGCGAATGCGGCGGGTGTTTTTATCAATGCTGTTGTCTCTCTTCTCATCGTCTCTCTCTCTCTCTCTCTCTCTCTCTCGCTCGGCGTGTCCCACTGTCTTGCTCTCTTTCTAGCTGCGTTGGTGCCGTGCTCTGCTGTGGCTCTGTCGCTCTAATTGTTGTTGGAGGTGCGAAAGTTTCAGGTGCAGCTGCTGCAACAAATCAAATTTCCAGTTGCAATTAATTCTAATTCAATAAGACGACTTATTTTAATACTCTTAGAAGTTAAGTTTTTGCTCCAACAAAAATGAATTGCTTTCAATTCTTAGCCACGCCCACTGGCTGCTTTGATAACAGCTCACAGTTTGAGAGTCACTGCATTTACAGTCTAAGAGTCACCGACGTTTTAATCAAGTCTTGTTTTTAGCTGTAGGGTATTGCGCTGTCGGTTACACCCGTCTGCAATTATCTTACTAGTTCACGAACATTTTAATACGGGGTTTTTTTCTTTTTTTTTTTGGTATAAAAACATTTTTTAGGTTTCACATAGATTTCTAGATTTATCGCCTACAAAATTGTGTTTATTTTTTTTTTATTTTTACATATTTATGAATTATTTTTATCCGTTTTTTTCGCGCTTTATGGGATTCATGGGCCGAAATTAAACACTATTTCGAAGACACCAACAGCTTTAATACCCTTTCATGTTGCAATTGGCTCAAAGAGGGTATGCACATTTTTCTTCTATTAAGAGTATTGATAAAAATCATGAATGGGTGCTGAAAGTTGCTTCGATTTTCACAAAATCCCAACATAACTGCGATTCTTATTGGATTTAACATTCTGATATGAAAACCAGTTGCAAAAGCTTCAACCTTGAGTTGCAAATGAAGGCGTATTATTTATTGAAAATAATATTTATATTAATTTTAAGACAAAAGTTGTCATTGTGTTGAACAAAAACTAAACAGATTACGCATACAAATGCAAATAGGTGTGCGAATGTGTACGTCCAGCTTTCGTAAGGGTATTACAACAACAAACATCTGCTCAGGTTTGCCGTTACTTTGCCCTGCCCCGTTTTGCCTCATGCCTAAATTTATTTCTCTCGCAAGGCTGTTGTTGTTGCTGCTGCTGTTGTTGTTGCTGTACAATCAGCGTCGTTTCGTACGAAGCGAACAAAATCGAAAATCAAATTGGATATGACTCATACTCTCCGCTTTTGGCTGCTGTCGGATGAGTGTAACAAAACAAACAACAACAAAAAAAACACGCACACATACACACACACACACACACACAAAACACATGCTAGCTCTCGTATAATAAGGGCCAAAGGCATTGAATAATAAGACTCAATAAGCCAAAGGCAAAATGCGTCTCACTTTGATGATGACTGATAAAATGTCCATTATTGCACGTAGAGAGCGAGAGTGAGAGCGAGAGAGAGAGAGGAAAGAAAATGTAATGGCGGTTTAGCTTGTGCTTGCACTGTTAATACACTGTTAATGGCTATTCTTGTGCTCTGCAAAACGTATTTCAAACATAAACAAAGAGGGCGCCGCTGTCAGGACAAAGACGCCCCATTTTATTGCAAGCTCCCCCTATAGCAAATATGCTCAACTTTGTGTTTTGTATGTTTTGTAAATGTGTGTTTTTTTATTTATTATTTTATCCACAACGGCTTGAGTCATGCAGCGACTGCGCTGTCTTCCGGGCACGAATGAATAATCAATCGCCTTGCAAACTTGACACTGGAGACTTGAGAGTTGGACATGTTTTGTGCAGTTGCTTGTTATTCATGCTTCTAATTGGAACAAACAAAAAAAAAAAAAAAAAAGGGTGGCCATTTGTCGAGTTGTGCAGATGGTTTGGTATCTAAATATAAACAACTGAGAGGTGTGTGGGGAAATGCAGTAATTTGCATGAGTAGAGAGCAAAGAACCGAATTTGGGCGCCCACAACATAAGTCAGCATACACACACATACACACACGCATGCATGCATACATACACGATTGATATGTACGTATTGGTTTTGGCCTCGTACGATCGCCCACCACAAGCATCAGGCGTGCGGGCAGGCAGGCAGCCGGGCGGTCGTTTGGCCAGGCAGCGGCAACATCTGCGCTACATAATGTGGGCGTACAAGTTCCTCACACACCAGCCCATAAGCAGAGATAAACACAGCTACGCAAACATGCATGCACACACAAGCCCACACACACACACACATATATATATATATATACATATATATACGCAGGGCAACAACAGAGCGATCCAATTGGATCTGCAACTCCTTGTAAGCAAAAGTAAACACGGCGATAGGGGGCGCTGCTGCGTGCTGGTTAATGTAATCAGTTTGACGTTTGATCGTCAACTTTCCAAGTGTTGCCACCCCAATCAAAGAATTTATGCCGTGCTTTGTTCTTAAGCTCCAGCAGCAGTCGAAGTGGAGGATATTCATTGGCACTCAGCAAATAACGCGCACACACGCACACACAAATTCTATATAAACGCAAGCATATTTATTCTTGTATGTGTGTGTGTGTGTGTGTGCGTTGGCCGCGTAGTCATCGTCATCGTCAATGAAATCATCAACACGAAGACTTCCATTTGACCAAGAATGCAGTCAAAATTTCAACATTTTCTTACGTAACACAACTTCATACACATTATTTCACACACACTCTAACACTTTTTGGCATTTATTTCCAACGTTTTATGCATTTTCAATTAGTAATTCTACAAAATAGTTCCATCAGGGCGCGTTGCTGTGGTTTTATTTTGATTTTACGCACACACTTGTGGAGTTGCCCACTCATGCACACACATGTATGCACACAAAGCCGCGAGCACAAGCACGATTACAGCGCAATTGCAATCAGAATTTACTTTTATGCACTTCCTGCATACCGAACACTGTTGCTTAACAAAAGCAACAAATAATTTAACAATAAAATTAATATAAAAAAAAATAGTTGGCAATAATACTTGTGATAATTACTTTTGGCGACGACTCCGCACTGTCACTCGATTATCAAACAACTGAAGCCGTGTGACCACACTTAAATAACATTAAAATGTGCAAAAAGTGTGACCAGCTTGTGCCACTTACTTGCTCTAAGCAATCAATTTGTTATCGAGTTCACGATTAATCGATATTATGCTTCCACTAACCCATTTGTTAACGCAGGCAAATCACTACAAATGTAATTATGCTTAATATCAGGCTGATATTTAAATAAAACATCCAATTCATTTAAGCAAGCTTTGACTTTATACTTTTCATAAAACATTACAGCTTTTCAAATGGCAAATACAACAAGCACCGATCACAAACTTAACCGGGCTGATGCTAGTATTTGATTGCACAGTGGAAAGGCGCTATTAGAGTGACCATACTGCCAAATACTAGAAAAGCCAGCAAGCCAAATAAACCAAAAAGAACAACAATAAAAACGCGTCGAGGTGAATGTAAATAAAAGAGTGTCCATAAATTTCGTTTATCTGGTCAAAAAAAAAAAAAACATTAAACATAAAAACAAAGCAAGTGAAGTCATCAATAGCCAAATAGCAAACAAAACGAAACGGAACGCGCACAAAGCAAGCAGCAGCAGCAACAACAACAACAACTTTGCTTCTTGTTTCTTGTTTTTTTGTTTTTCTATTTTGGTTTGTTTTGTTTTTGCAAAGAGTGCCGTCAGGAAAAGGGGGCGACGCCCGCCTCGTCGCAGCATGGAGGACTTCGACATCGATTTGGATCTAAACTTTGTGCAACTGAGCCGGCAACAGCTGCTCCAGCGCTATACGAACGCCGTGCGCCAGCTGCGCCGCCTGGCCGATGTCAATTACGGCGTGCGGCCGCTGAGCTTCGATAATTATGTGATCTTTCAGTATTTTCAACAGCGCAGCCCCATGCCACTGTACAATGCGTCCACCAGCACACCGCTGATGGCCTATCTGAAGCTGGAGGTGCTGCATCATTTGCTCGATCGACGGCGCAAAATCCTGTGCTGGCTCTTCTATCTGACGCTAATGTCGCTGTGCGTTGTCGCGTATCGCTATGAGACGACAAATGGTGCGAATAACGGACGCATGGTGCAGTCGCTGGTGTATCCGGGCATGCGAATGTGGCGTCGCATGACCATGCCGCTAATACAGCGCTTTCCACGTCTCACCGAGCTCTATGATGAGTCCTGTTTGATGGGCAATCCGTTCTTTCAAGTCGAGGATCTCAGCTGCGGCCCCTGTGCCGATGTGGAGCACGTTTGGCTGGAGAGCGATGAGTGCGCCCAGCTCTATGTCGATGCTGGTCACAATGTAACCACACTCAGTTACCAGGAGCAGGCGCAGCAGGCGCAGCAATCGGCTACCCTAACTGGTTATAAGCAGCTGGCGCTGTTGCAGCATTGCCGCAAGCCGACGGAGCATATGCCGTATACGTTTCGGAGCAATCAGCATGGCTTTGATTTGGCCGACTTCTACAAGATCTATGCGAACAATTTGAAGATATTCCAGCGCGACGCATACCGTGTACACTCCACCAATCAGGGTGTGCACAATCTGGAGGATCTCTTCGGTCAGTTCAATAGCAGCAGTTCGACCGATGATGATGTGCTCGGCGCTAGAGCAGCAGCATGGTCAACGCATGCCCACAATCTGTGGCGCTGCAATCGAATGCTGCCCGCCCGTTTGTTGCGTCCCATATTTGCGCGTCCATTGCGCTTGCCCAGCATGGGCGTCGCCCTGGAACGTTATGTGGCCATCGATACGGCCCAGGCGCCGGCATATACCCTGCCCGAAACCGAATGCCCCAATGTCTATGTGCATCAGGCGGTCGGCACACGCTTCATCATATTGCGTCCGACCAGCGAATGCCGCCAGCGTTGTCGCACCCTCTCCATGCGCCTCACCCAGTCCTTTGTGCGTAAGTACGAATCGTTGCGGCCATCTAAATGGCTAACGTAATTCATTTATTCTCACCTGCTTTCTTGCAGTTACCTACAATTGGCTGTACTGGAAACCGATATCGGCGCCCGATCCCATATCGGAGAGCATGTCCATTAGCCTCATCGGCTCCTACTGTTAAACTGGAAGAGTCCGTGCCACAATTGCCCACACATCATCATCATCATCATCAGAGTCATTCTTGTCATTGTCAACCTTCACAATTCTCAGTCAACATATATATATATATATATATATATATATATATATATATATATATTTTTTTGTTAAATGCCATGCCAAAATTTTTCCAACAAATTTATGTCGCTCTCAATTTGGAAAGAAAAATAAAAGAAAAAAAAAAAAAAAAAAACAAGAATATTTGTAGAAAATTCGAAAGAAACCCATTTGAAATGGGCAACAGCTCGATTAGCCCTAAGCTCCATGTTCTATCCTATAATGCCTGTCCCAATATTATATAGTCTATAAGTTTGTGCCCGGCGAACGACCGAACATTGTTCCACATTCTGTGTTCTAATCTGGGGAAAAGTTGTAATCATTTTTCGTCAACAATTGCATTTATATTCAGCTCTAAGTTTGCACTCTTTATCTTAAATCCATATTAATTATATTAAATATGCACGTGTGTATCTATATATATATATATATATCTGACATATATATATATATATGACGGCATAGAAATTATATATATGCTTTAATTGAGTTCGCTTTCGATTTGTTCAATGCAAATGTTTGCCAAATTGACTATGAATTAATAAATTCTGCAGCTATATATAAATATATATGCATAACTTATTTATAACAATATCAAGCGGAAAATCCAAAGGAAAGCTTTAATTTTTCAGTTCTATTCGTTTGTCTTTCGCATGATTACTTCTAAATAAGATGCCAGATCGATTCGCAAGTCTTTTAACTGCATGATATATATCTTTGAGATCGTAAAGAAATATCTATATCATGGCTCTGCGAATGTCTTGCTGGCGCAGTTTGCAATGCACTGGACTCCACAGTTTTAGAGCCACAATCAAACTGCTGTCAGATTCAGATCGGTCAACTATATCATATAATATAATGCCTGGTGGCTTTAATTACAGAAAGAGAGAGAGAGGGGGAGATTTCTATAGTTAAACCCGTTTTTTTGGCGCATTTAAAGTTGAAACGTTTACGAATATGAAGACAAAGCAGAAACAGCATAAAAGTGTGTGAGAGAGAGAGAGAACGTTAGCAGCTGTTACCCGTCCTTGCCCGAGCCAAGTAGATTTTCATTATTTCACATTTTAGCACGCTTCGGAATTGTCAGTATACCTTATATTAAAATAAAAAATAAGTTTTTATATCTTTTTAAGTCGAGCGCTTGAAAAATGAAAAGTTGCCATCAACAGTTTTTCGCCCATTTTCCGTACTTGAAAGTGGTTTAGCGAAAATTTCGAAATTAAATATTTTCAAACCGAAGATAAGCATTTAATATTTACCTGAACAACTGGGACTCCCCCATTTTTCACGCAATTTGGTGAAATGGTAAAATGCCATTTTAATAAGAAAACCACGTTTGAAGTGAAAGTTTTACACCCATTTTCCACAGCTTGCGTTGTGGAAACAGTCAGTCAATCGATCAATCAGAACAGTTTGCATAAAATGTAGACATCATTTATTGGGTACACTTGGATGTTGGCTGCAATTCAGGAATCTCCGGCCTTGGTCAGCGCATCGAAGTAGGAGCCCATCATCAGATCGGCGGGCGCAATGCCAAACGTTTGGCTCAGCTGCTCGGCAATGGCCTGGCCCTGTTCGGGCGTCTGTTCGGGCCGCAGACACACCTCGAACTCCATGAAATGCCCCAAATCCTGCACCTCATCCATGTGAATGCGCGTCTGTTCGTATATAAAAAGCTGGCGTCGTTTGGCCAAAACGCCCAGTGCACCGTTCGATTGACGCAACATCTTCTCCAGCACCGCGGGCTCATCCACCTCGATTTTGTTGTATTTGGAAAGCTTGGGCCCGGCCACATCGGGTCTGTCGTAGTAGACAAGCTGGGAGCGTGCCGGCGCCTCCAAGTAGCGCAGCTTCAGCCGACCGCCCTTTGGTGAATTGAAGAAGACATCGCGCTGCACAATTAACTCGCCAGCGGCGCCGCTCAGTTGCCGGGCAATGCCCAGGCGACGTTCAAACTCAGCTGTGCCGCCGGGTATGCGCGCCTTGATCTCCACGTTACGCTGATCGGCCGTTGCAGCTGGGTCGCACATGTTGTTGTTTATGTTGGTTGCTTTGATTTTCACTTGTCTGATTTGTTGATAGAAATGCCTTAATTTCATATATATTACGGATAAAAGCCCGTTTTGGCGGCCTCTTTGTGCAGCCTTTCGATCGGCGTGCACGCGCGCGTTATCGCGTTATCGTTATCGATAAGTGACACGAGCCGCATGCGGTGTGGCAACACTTTGCCAACATTCGCAGTTGGTGTGTACACATTGTGCGCAGCTTGGCGCCAAAATGCGCTCTTTTGAAAGCAGCTAGTTTAATTGTTTTAATCTGTGTCATGTACTTGTTTAAGCTATGTAATCTGATATGTTTTCTTTTGCAATCGAGTATATGTTTATTTAAATCGTTGAGGGGGGATACCCTGTGCCCGGCATGTACGCTAACACACGCACGCTTGAAGCAGAGGTAGTTTGGCTGTTGCTTGGCCCATAGAATACCCTGTATATACTGAATGTGCGCAGATCGTTGTTTAACATCTGTAGATTCTCATTCTCGAAACAGCCGAAACTGAAAAAATACATTATTTTGTTTTTTAAATGTTTATAAAGATCGAACTTGAAACACCCTTATTATTCGAGAAGGCATTTTCCTAGGGTGGGTCGAAGATGGGAAGCTCTCTACTTGAGCTGGTTTACTTGTTGGAATAGACATGGGGTATTTATTTAAATTTATTATGATATATACATACGCATACATATATACATACATATGTGAGCGTATGTATGTATGCATGAAAACTTAAGCTAAATATAAATGTACATACATACATACGTACATCTATTTCTAATACACTCAACTCAATAGCAAATGGTCACTTACATATACATATGCACATACATATACATACACACATATGAGCACGCGAAAACGTGTTCGTTTATATGCATGTATATACACAGACACATATGCAAATACGTAGGTGCAAAAGCAACAAACAGCAAACCCAAAAAAAAAAACATATGTAAATATGTAAATAAAAAAAAACCAACAACAACAAGAAAACACAATGTGTAGACAACACACACAAGTTGCATAGTCTCCTGGCCGGGCCCCGTTTCGTGACGCGCAATGGCACACGGTAGGTAAGCAGGCAGGCAGCGGCAGAGGGAAAGCGATAGGCAGAGCAGAAGGCGTCAGCGGTGGCAGCGGCGGCGGCGGCGGTGGCGGCTATGATGACGATGCCGCGCGCGCAACGACTTTGGCAGCTTAATACACACATACACACACACACACACACACACACACCGAGCGACTGGGAGGCGGCATTCGTGTGCCCTGGGCGTGTCACAGTGTCAGCGGGCGAACGCGTTGGCGGGTGGCGGGCCGCAAGCGGGTGTATTGCCATCTACTGCCCATTTTGAAAGCTTTTGCGCTCGTTTCGCTCGTGCGGACTTCGGCTTCGGTGTTCGGCTCAGAGCCGAATAGCTTTCGTTGGTGTTGTTCTTGTTGTTGCTGCTGCTGTTGCTTATTACCCTGCATGTTTGAAATGGCAATAGCAAATTTACTTTTAATTTGCCACCACCTATGCCCAACACCCCCCTCCCCCCCTCCCTCACCCCATCACCAACTCATCCCTTCTGGCGAAAATCAACGACACCTACATTTTGTGCTCTGCACTATTCGAGTTCGCTCCACTACAGCAGTGGAGCGGCGGCCTCTGGCGGCTAGCAAAAACCCACTTTCCCCCACCCACAACAAAAACAAAAAAAGAACCAGATGTCAGGTGCAGGGTGGCAACCATAACAGTTGTTGTTTATGACAGGTTGGCAACACTATAAATCGATATTGAAAATAATTACAAGGTTTTAGTGCAATTTTTACATATTTAATAGGCAATAAATTGCGTCTAATCACTTATCGATTTGATTTAGGCAATTATAACGCAATTAAAACGGATTTCATTAAAAAATAATGCACGCAAAGGATATCATTTTCTTTTGCAAATATATGCAGGCAAGAGCAGCCCATGTATTCCTGCTCAGCTGATCAGGTCATGTATGTATGTAAATGTATGTACATATATGTATGTATACACAGATCAAGTACATTTAACTTCTTGAATGCCTTCACCCACTTGTGAATATTGCGACAACTTGGTGCTAGGTACAGACCATCTCCAAATTACATTGTTTTCTTCTAAGAAAAAAAAAAACTATAGATAACATGTTTGTGTGTAAATACATGCATACATATGTACATACATGTGTATGTATGTATAGCGATTACTAAACATTTTCTGTTCGATCGTCAAGAACAGCTCGAAGTACAACGGGATTCCCGTCCCCTTGCTTGTTTATAAAATTCAACTTTCGGATTAAAAAGATTTTAAAGCTCAGCTCAAAACACACATGCTATGCACATGCTTACATGTGCATGTATGTATTTATGTGTGCATGTTTACAGCTTGGCTTAGAATTTATCGATATCCGATATACATACATATTAACATTGTATTTACATAGCGACTTTGTTGGCGAACAGCAACAGACATACATACATACATACATGCACAGCGTATGTATTTGTTACATGATCATCGCACTGGATATTTGATACTCTGACAACGGCCGGGAATCAAACGAATTGCTCAGTAGGCCACATTAACAGATAATCTGCCGCTGAGCTGGCGATACACAGATACCTATCGACCCCCACCCACCCCACACCGACCCACTCCTTCCATGACATATGTATGTGCCTCGCATTTTGGCAGCATTCCTGTTGCTCATTCTTCTTCATTCAACGAACATTCAATTTTCTTGTGTGTATCTAGAGAATTATTAACAATATTCGTAGAAATAGATACATACATACATCTAAACATATACACGTACATACAAATGTATATATGTATGTATGTGTGTTTGCTTGTATTGAAGCTTTTTCGAGCGAGTGAACGGATATCAAACAACAACAACAACAACAACAAAAACAACAAAAAACCCGTATCCGACCAACCGGCATACATATTTATGTATATACACGCTCAAATGCGTGTGCATGTGTGTGTGTGTGCGAGTACACAAACACAACAGACATTCACACACAAAAAAACAGATACGAAAATTTAATGCAGTTTTCTCGATTTTCTATGTGGAATTCTCCGTTGTCGCTGCCGCAGTCAGCGTCTGCGCCGGCCGACAGCGGACAGACAAACAGCGACGACGACCTTCGCTGCATCGCGTACTTTTGTTGTTTCTACTCTTCTTCTTCTTCTTCTTCTTCTTCGTTTGTTGTTGTTGTTGTTGGTGTTGCTGCCGCTGCCGCTGTCGCTGCTTTTGATTGTTGCTGTTGTGGCCCTCAGTTTGGTGGCCGCTGCGCTGCCGATGGCACAAAATGTATTGGCCATATACATACATACATAAATACATTTGGAAGTGTGTGTGTGTGTGTGTGTATGCTGGTACCTTTTTGTATGTATCTGTTATGTGGCTGTAAATGCTCCCCTCTAGTACGCCCGCTCCCGCACTCTAGCGCGCTCTCTCTCTTGCTCTCTCTCCCTTTTATGAGCTCTCTCTCTAGCTGTACATATGTGCATGCATACAAACGTATGTATATATTTTTGTGCTTGTGTGTGTGTAACCAGCTGCGACTTTAAGTTGTTGTTGTTGTTGCTGCTGCTGCTGCGAATTCGCTCCCAGCTGTGAATGTGCCTGTGTGTGTGTGTGTGTGTGTGTGTGTGTGTGAGAGAGTTTTGTATATTTGAGAGATACTTTGACCTTTTTTTCCCATCAAGAAGACTTGAGCTGTTGTTGTTGTTGCTGCCGCTGCCGCTGCTGCTGCTGCTGCTGCTGGCGTTGCCACCGCAGCCGCAGAGAGATCATTGCAGATTATACAGGGCACGTAATTTAGTATATAAGCGTTTATCTAAGTACATGCATACATGCATACACAATATCTACATATATGACTGTATGTGCATGCGTGTATGCATGTAGATATGTGCGCGTAAGTGTGTGAGTAATTTATGAATTTTCGTTTCATTTTGGTTTTTATATGTGCTGCTGTTGTTGTTGTTGTTGTTGTATTTTGAACAGCTCAGCTGCGTCGCTGCCGCCCATTTATGACTTCATTTGCCGCCTTGTCTTTTATACATAAAATATTTATTTTTTGCACTCCCGCCGCATGCTTCTATGTATTTATAAGATACATTTCTTGCGGCAAAGGTGTGCCGATAAGTGGTGGGTGTTGTGGGTGGTTGGGTGGTTGGGTGGTTGCCGTTTGCCAGATGGGGGCCTTGCCAACAAGTGTCGAGGCATACACATTTTTTTTTTACTGACAGTCCTGGAGCGCAACCCTGTCAAAGCCTTCCGGTTCAACGGACTGTTCGTTTTTCTCGTTCTTCTGTTTGGTTCTTTTTTTTTTTTGTTTTTTTTTTTTTTGGTTTATTGGCATATTACCAAAAATAGTGGCAACGCTGTTGTTCGCTTTTGGTATTTCGCTATGTTTATGTTTCTTTATTCTTCGTTTTCTTGTTCGATTTTCATTGTTGCAATTTGCTTGGGAGCTGCCTTTGCTTTTGCATTGGAAAATAAATAATTTATAATATCCACATACATATACATATACTATGTGTATGGGTGGGATTGAAATATACATGCATGTATATGTGTGTGGAGAGAGAGAGAGAGAGCGAGTGTGTGTGTGTGTGTAGCTATTCCACACACAATACGCGTATGTTTGTATGTGTGTATATACATGCATGCGTATGTACACGCATACAATGTATGTACATATGTATGTATGTTTGTATGCGTCCTTATGTCGCATATTTCGTGTTTATTTATGTACATACACATACATACATACATACATACATACACATACACAGGCATATAGGCTAGAGGAAGCAGCTCAGCTCATTTACATGCATACATATACGCATGTATGCATGCAGATATATGCACACATACATATGCATATGTAAAGCTTATATACAAGCTTGATAGCTCTGCCTCTCTCTCTCTCTCTCTCTCTCTCTCTACACGTGTGTGTGTGTGTGCAACGCGACATGAAGAAAAGCGCGAAGCGCAGTGCAAGTAGAAAATTCATATGAAAAACCAATTTTCTTTTTATGACTTGATTTCTACTATATGTTCAGAGTTTGATACAACTGTGGGAACCAAAATGAAAATATTT